GGAGCAGGCAGTGGGGCTGCAGTGTGTGACTGCAGGGCAGGCACTGCACTCTGAGATGTGTCACTTCTCACTCTCCTGAAAACAGAGCTCTGCACACACAGAGCGCTTCCTGATAAAAACCTGATCAGTCTCCTCATTGGGAACATCAAAATCCAGTACCAGTGCTTTAACTATCAAATACTATCAGGGTATTTAATCCTGACCCAAAAAGGTAGAGTAAATATTGATTTGTGATGATTAAAATTAGACTGATGATACCTGACGGGCTATGATCCTTCTGGCTAGAGTCGGTCCTTTCTGCTAAACACATATAATACAGACCATGCTAAATTTGCTTTACTGAAGCAGATCACCTTCCCAACTTTTGATCACATCTTTATACTGTATGTCATGAACTTTTCTTTGCCACGTTTTTGACATTTTATACAGCATTTTTAATACGCCGTACCAAACAGAAGACACAAAATGGGTACATATTCATAGAAAACATACCATCAAATGTAGTCATATATGCACAAATTCAGGAATCTCTCTTTCTGGCCTGATTTAAAAATGAATGCATCCTGTTGCATCTGAAGTACAGCTGGAGTGTGATGGATGCTGCCACAACAGTACTAATGACACTTGTTCAGTAGCATAATGACAATGGGCTGTGAAAATACAGACTGGCTGCTTTAGGCTTGACATGGCCGTATTCTGTGACCAAAGGAATTAACTGATCTACCAGTAAGTCTACAGAAACAGGTCCAACATGTTGTTCTGTCAAGGTTTTCACATTTTGATGGCCAGCTGAGAATCTGTTGCAGTGTTCTCGGGACTGTGCCAATTTCTGCCTTAGAAGTGGAACTTGTTTGCTCAAAGTGGCACAGAGCTCAAAGCTCGCCAGCAATTACCCTTCCCAACCACTTGACAAAAAATCCTTATGCAAGACAGGGAGCGCTGAGGTTTGATAATATTTGCTCTTCGGCTGTCAGAGCAGGTCAGTGCAACTGCCGAGCAGCTCTAGAGTCTGTGGGTGCTGTATTCATAAAGCTGGGTTTATAGAGGCTTTCTCCAAAAAAAGTGCACTTTGCTCATTGTGCAAAAGTAGAGCTAATTATTCTTTTTCCAGCTGCAACTCAGCCACAGCAGAACAGCTGGCTGTTCTCTTTCACACAAGACCTCACACCTTGTCACGATATGAAGTGTGTGGACCACTGTCCAAGCGCATTTCTTATGAGTCTGTGCTGTTTACCTTGTCTTACTGTGCTTGAGACTTTGCAGTTGTTTAGTCATATCAAAAAATAGTCTGTTGCAAAATAATAGGAATAAACAATGTATAGAACGGTTCAGTCCTTCAAAGGAATTACTGTATATGTTTGCATTCTGCGAAGTTTTGATATATTCTTTCTCTTTAATGCCTTTGAAGAGTGTCTTGAGTTCCACTATCCAAACTATATGAAACATTACTGAATCAAACACTACGCTAGGAGATTAAATGAATCATGGACACCTAAAATGCTAAAAACCTAAAATGCAAAAAACAACATGACAAATTAACATTAAATGCACAAATACAGTTGCTTCTTTGAGGGATTCAATTGATAATGTTTATCTTGAGCTAACTTGTCATTGCTGAAAACCAAAAAGAAATACACCCCTCGAATGATAACCATCTGCAGAAAGAGATATTGCAAAATATCCTTAGAACAGTAAACTGAAAAAAAACCTCCTGGATGTCTGTCTGAAATTCTAACCCTGTGAGATGTCCTCTAGAGCAGCACCAGTGTATTTGGCTGGAATACCATCAGGGCTCCATCTCTTGAAGGCTGAGGACTCCATCACTCCCTCAAGCTTCAAGAGGGCGACAGGACGCACCAGAAACTTTCCAGTTTGACTAACAACCAGATTATCACTGGCTTGAAGTTGAAGCTGATGAGTTTACAAAACATCTCCTTGCTAACCATGCTGCCTGGCACACAGTCTGACCCTGAGCGCTGACTGGCTTTCTTCCCCTGGCGGAAGCAATACGCGTTGAGGACATTAGAGGCCGGAAGATTCTGGATATCCTGTCTGATCGCCAGGAGAAAGAAGCAGAAAACAATACAAATAACAACACACTGTTTGCAAAAGCTGAGGAAACAATTGTGTCCATGTGGGTATTCTTTAATACTCAAAGAAAAGAAAACTAAACAGAACTCAACTAAATATATGATTAAAAACTGAATGCTATTTCCAGTGTCCTGTTTCAGCTTCTGATTAAATTTCCACAAGGCATATTAGGATTACAAAGAGCTCTAGTTTAGATTGACGGAATGTTTTTATCATTTAATTTATAATGTGTGTATTGAACACTTGTTTTAAGGATATGTGGGATGCTCATGTAAAGTGGATAGATAAATACTGCTAAAAAATGAGAAGTGTTACAAGAAAGAAGTGGCCATTTGACTTATCTTATTAGTTGCTAGACTAAAAATGTTTATTCCATTTGTACAACACTCCTTTGAGGTCAGCAATCAATCTGGTCACTTTCTCTCAAATATTTTCAAAGGCAATGATATAGTATCTGTAAAGAAGAAGGGAAAAAAAACTTTCAGAAGCAACCCCACTAGTGTAATGTATACATCACAAGAAATGTATCACTATATCCAAAATAAAAGGATTTTTGGATTAAATGTTTTTGGCTTCATTTTATTAACTAACCTTTCATGACTAACAATGGTACATGAGTGAATCTGCCTTTTGCAACCTAAATCATCTAATTTTCTGTCAGCCAAGAACTTCATAATAGTAATAAACAACTCAATAATGGTACAATCTTATAAGACAGACATGCAAATTTTAGCTAACCTGCTTCATGGTATAATAAAATGATATAATTAGACTTAAGTAGATTTTACAATTGAGGGGTTTTAATGTAAAATACAGGTAGACAATTACTTGTGACATACTGTACATATATTAGTTAATACTGTATAGGGAATATAAAAAAAACAATGAAGGTCCATTTCAGATTAGCTGGATGAGTCAAAAATCAGGCAAACCCTTGCTTAGTGTCTTTACAGATTCTCAGACTTTTTTTTTCTGGAGCTTTCTGAAAAAAAAATAAACAGTATTCTGCTTCCCTGGTTAAAGAAGCTAAAAAGATCTGAGAATTTTCTTCAACACCCTCACATCACCCCTTCTCCTTCAGCTCAGCCCCCAGCTGTCTCCTGAAACTCCAGTCCCCACCATCTCTCCCTGCTCCATTGAAAAACCAAACAAGCCTGCTATTAAGCGGAGGGGGCTCAGGAAACGGGCCTCCAGGCCAGTCGGCACTGTTTACAAGGAGCTAGTCAGGTTTCAGCGGGCTTTGAAGTGGAGCGCACACAGGAGACCGCCTGTCACCGAGCCAGCAGAGCCCCACTGACTCACCGCCTTCCCCCCGTTCATCTGGGCAGAGCGGGGGGACGGGGCCGTGGCGTGACGGGGAGAGGGGGAGAGGGAGAGAAGGTTGTAGGCTCTCGGAGCACACTCTGCTTGGACTAGGGGTCTGTAATTGGCTCCTTGTGGGGTGGGGATTTCAGTCCTTGGGGTCGATACAATCAATGGTCCATGATAATAGGCCAATGTTCATTTCCATGAGAACATTTCAATTAACATTAGCCAAATGAATATAATTCCGAAAGGTGCCTGGAATGAAAATGGACAGATTTGCAATTCTTTCTGTTGCTAAATAATGCTAAATAAAGGATTATGGAAACACGGACTGCCGTTTAAGTCTCGGCCTTACGCTCTTAGTTTGACACATTCAAGAATTTAAACTCGTGATGAAGAATTTTCCCCCACCTTTACTACGTAATAATGTAAAATATTACTATGTAGTATTTTCTTGAATAGAAGCATCATCTAATATTCGTTCTAAATACCGATAAAACCGACGAAAGACGAACTCACGAATTCCTTGTCACTGATCCAAGGAGATACAGTAAACCTTTAGTAATTGGGAAGCGAAAACATACTGCTCTTATCAAAGCAAGCTGTACCATACCTTTGCCTATTACTAAAATACGTTTCCCTCTTTGAAGAGAACTGAGAGAATTCAATGATTGCCGTCAAGGGATATCTAAAAAAAGCCCTGAAAAAAATAAAAAGTCTTCGTGATAGCTGCATGCTTAGACACGTTAAACAAAAAAGTAACATGGTACCTTGTCACATATCTGAGTTAATGTAGTTACTGTACATTACAGTGCGTGACTGCATGCTTTCGGTGGATTTGACTTGTGGCGCAAATGAAAGAAAATAATAAACGAAGAGCTTACTGAAGACAGCGTATTATAACCGGTCAAGGAAACAAGGATACTCATTGTGCTTGAGCAAGACCATGAAATTATATGCCCTAGAGAAACACAATGTAGAGGAAATACGATCAGCGTTTGTGCACGAACAACAGAATATATGATACAGTTCACAAGGAGTCTACTGTAAAATTTACAGCCCCTGACAGATCTCCTCCCCAAATTGCCCGTTTCTCCTCTGTCAAAAGATCTCGTAAAACAGCACAAGTGTATTTTATTATACTAATTTTGTAAAGTTACCTGCAGTAGGCCTACCTGGTAGCCCTACAGTTCCAAAAAAAATTTACGCCTGATTGTTACAGTTACAGTCCGACTCATTCTCCTACACAAAGAAAGAATTAGTTTAAATAATTAAGCACACAATTATCAACGTTTGGAAAGTTAATAGTGGAAATATACTGATCTTCTATTTACGTTTCGAGTATTTTTTCACTGGGAATACGGGTTGCTTACCCATAACCCGAAAGTTTTTAATTACGTTCGCAGCATAACCAGGCATTCTTAAAATAATCAAATATTTAAACCCCTTTCTTCAATGAATAATTTTTTAATCAAAACCCCCAGCTGATAAGTTTCCCAGTATTTTAGTTTCCGCTGAAGTGTGGATGTGGGTAATTGTATTCTTCTAATTTATTTTTTTCACTGAGATTTAGGTCAAAAACAAAACAAAACAAAACAAAACACATTAATTGCCCGTTGCTCGTTAATATTGCACCATTTGTATTTCTCAATACTCAGTTTTGAACAATGTGAAAAAATTATTGTATTTGTTAAACAAAAAATGTTTCGACATGAACAATTAAAGACACAAGTAAAAGCTGGGACGGATCATAAACATGTAGCAATGGCATTTTAATAGTTCTCTTTATGACTCTTACATAGAGCTGCCAAAACCTTTCGTAAAAAGTAGATACACTTTGCTGAAACATCTTAGCTGTTTCTAAGCGACGTTCATAAGCATGAGTCAGACTGAGATGAATCTTATGTGTGCATGTTAAGTACAAGATTTAATGGAACAAAACGATAACCTTCTCCTTGAAAGAGTTAAGATATTCAAAATGAAAAAGAGCAGAATTCGTTGAAGATGTTTTGTGGGTCACAATTCAGCAAATATGCCACGTGGAAAAGTTCGGTTACTCTTTGTCACAGATAACAGTTAACGGTTTTACTGTGGATTCTAGCAATTAAGAGTCAATGCTTTGAACATTACGCTATGCAATATTTTATTCCAGGGTATTTGAAAAAGAAAACGACTTTCCAAACCAAGAATTAAACTAGACTGCGGTATTTTAAACACTTCAGCAAAGAAAGAAAACCAAAGTGGAACAATTTTACAGAAAGGCCCAGTATGAGATACAAATCAACACAGTCTGCCCGCCTAATTCAACCATAAAACGAACAAAAATACTTTAGCTTAAAGAAACTGCACTGGCATTCTAGAAACACCGGCAAGTAATATTCAATTTAACATAAATTGTTCGCAGACACTGCGTTTTTTATATTGAAGCTGCAAAATGTAAAAAAAAAAAATAGAAAAAAAATGCTTTCAAACATTAGGGAATCGTGTGCCTCCAATTTATTTACTTTTTTCGGAGCCATGTGGCTCATATTTACTTCTTAATAAAATTGGCTTCCATGCCCATTCAAGTCAAAGTTGTATCACAGGATTTGTTAACGCAGGATCCGATTCGTGAGGGGTACCGACACAAAACTAGAGTCTGCCTTGCTTTTTCAAAGACGTGAAGTAAACCTGTGTTAAATTAATGTCCTATTTCCTTACACAAATATTCTTGAAAGAGTGGAGTGAGTCGTCACTCCCCGCAGCATGCCTAAGTACTGCCTCTCAGAATCACTGCTTGTTTGTTGCGCCTTGGGTTTAAATCTTACTCCTCAGGGACCAGCGGCACGCCAGGCAGAGGCTGTGGCCAAGGCATTCTTTAATGTAAAACAGATTCCATAATCTCGTACATCAGGGGAAAATGATTACAGATCTTGGTTTGACAGATAAAGTTCAACTGTGCCTCGTCAGTCCTGCCAACAAAAACAGCATTGAAAGTCTATGGCTCCATTTATAAGATGCACGTCTGCCAAGAAGCTTGTTTCAAGGTATTGCTCTTTTCTTTCTTTAAATACAAATATATAATTATATTTTATTTTATTTTTACAAATGCTATTTACAATACATTTCATTACGCCCCGGGCAAATTAATTGGCATAAAAACGAACGATCTGTATTAAAATCGCCGCCCTTACAAGTATCCCCTCCCCCCTGAAAAAAAAAAAACAGATGGTTTCTCTCTTAGGCAAACGTTTGACTGCTGGTCAATTTTAAAAGGAAACACAGAAGTGAGGAGGAGGGGATATCAGCGTACAAAATGTTCACTTCCGAATCTCAAGTGTCAGTTAAGTTCGAACTAGAGCAGGACAGCGCAGATTCACGCTTTCTTTTTATTACGGAATTTGATAAAATGGTCAAAAAAAAACGTAAAGCTGGGGTCCTCGAAAAAATCGAAATATAATATTAAGCCCTGCAGTATCTGCTAGAAGAGGGCTGTGGGACGGTTGGGTTAAACCGTGGTTTCCCCGTGTTGCCCGTTCGTGAGTCTGGTGTAAAACCTGCGCCACGAATGTAAAGTCTTGCCGGACCAGATCCAAAAGCCAGAGGTGATACCCACAATCAGAGTCATGAGATATTTGATCATGTACACGGTGAAATCCGGCGTCATTCTCGGCGTGTACTGCAGGGGACAGGGGATGGCCAGGGCTTTGCAGTTGTGACTGATCCAGCTGCGCTCCCAGTGCCCTCGGAACGCCTGCTCGTAAAAGAAACAGGCGATGACGATTGTGGCCGGCACAGTGTACAGCACGCTGAAAACCCCGATCCGCACCATGAGCCTCTCCAGCTTCTCCGTCTTGGTCCCGTCGTGCTTCATGATGGTGCGGATTCGGAAGAGGGACACGAAGCCGGCCAGCAGGAAGGAAGTGCCGATGAACAAGTACACAAAAAGCGGCGCCAGCACAAACCCCCGCAAGGGGTCAAGGCTGTTGAGCCCCACGAAGCAGACGCCGCTCAGCATGTCGCCGTCAATCTGCCCCATAGCCAGAATGCTGATGGTTTTAATGGCCGGCACTGACCAAGCTGCCAGGTGGAAATATTGCGAATTGGACTCGATGGCTTCGTGGCCCCACTTCATCCCTGCCGCTAGGAACCACGTCAGGGAAAGAATGACCCACCAGATGGAGCTGGCCATGCTGAAGAAGTACAGCATCATGAATAAAATAGTGCACCCCTCCTTTTTCGTCCCCTGCACCACGGTCTTATAGCTGTCAGCTGTAAAGGGCTCGTTGCAGACCACCTTGTCCCCCAAGAAAAACCCCGCAATGAAGGCGATGGAAACCATAGTGTAGCACCCCGATAAAAATATAATGGGGCGCTCCGGGTATTTGAAACGCTGCATGTCCACCAGATAGGTGGTCACGGTGAACAAGGTGGACGCACAGCACAGAGAGGACCAGATCAGTATCCACACTCGGGCGAACTTGATCTCCTCCTCACTGAAAAACATGTACCCGATGTTTCTGGAGGGTTCGCAGGGCGCAGCGCAGTCCACCTCCCCCAGAAACCGGTAGTTCAAGTAAGAGGGCACTGTCAGCACCTTGGGGCAGCGGAAGGGTCTGTCAGGGGTGGAGTACACGCGTGTCCCAGGGGTTCCCGGGGCGGGGATGTGCATCGGCGGGTTGGTGACAGTGGGCACCCCGCTGTCCGATTCATTCTGCCCCACGCAGATCTGCCCGTCTCCCAGGACAGGAAAGTTCTCGCACCGCAGCCTCTCTGGCCACTGAAAGCCGAATTTGTTCATGAGGGCTTCGCATCCTTGCTTGGCTCTCTCGCAGATGGACCGGCACGGAGGAATGGCTTTGTCCAGCACCGTGCACACCGGGGCGTACATGGAGCAGAGGAAAAACTTGAGCTCCGGCGAACACTGCACTTTGACCAACGGGTAAAACTGATGCACCTCGAGTCCCGCGTCCTCCTGATTGTAGTGTCCTACCAAATTGGGCATTATAGTCTGGTTGTAGGCGATGTCCGTGCACAGCGGGATAGAGATCGGCTGACAGAAGCCGTGATCGGGGAAGGCAATTCCACTATCCCCCTGATACTGCGCAGAAACCAGGAGACAGGACGGCAACAGCAGGGCAAGCAAAGCGGGCGTCCTGTATACAGTCATGTCTGTTTAGACGTTGGCTTCTTTGATTCCTTTCAGCTCTTACAGAAGAAGAGAGTATTGTTCGGTAGAATTAAATAAAAAAGTCTTGAGGCATGAACAGGAGTTTGGTTTTTAAGAATCTCAGTCACATCTGTAAAACTGTACTCCTTGTACAACTGTTAGCTTACCGACGGAGACCGTAAGACTTTTTTTTTCCCTTTGTGCGACCAAATTAGTCCGTTTCAAGTCTCCCTAGCCCACAACGGGACATAGCAAAGACAACAAATGTGTGGGGGTCTTGAAACCGCCTTTCCTCCCCGAAGCCCCTTCCCAAAATTTCCTCACAGCCAATCGAATCGCAGGAGCACTACCAACCCGGGACAGACTCTGTCAACCGCAACATAATGAGATCAGGTTCTCAAAGCTCCAACTTTCCTCGCTTTTAAAGAGGCAGCGGAGAATTGTCGCGAGTTTGGGAGGGGGTCGCGCACGAAAACGTTTCTTAGTCTAAACTTTCGAAAGTTGACGACGGGGCTGATGATTATCTGTATGGTGCTGGGAACGCAAATGTGTTGTTTAATTAAAAGGTAAAATATTCTGTAACTACATAAAAGGAGGAAAACTCTTTAGTGTTGCTCTGCAGATTAAAGGAAAAAAAAATCTTAGTAACAGTACTGGGAACCTTTATTTACTAAATATACATACATTAATGTAAATATTAATGAACATTATTAGTCTGCATTATTGTTGGACAGTTCTCGACATTTTCGACTGTTCTGCGCTTCTCAGTTTTTTCTTCTGCATGCAGTAATACTGCACAATCTGGGACAATCTTCAACTGAAATCTTAGTGGTTTTGTTTGAAGTTAACAGTTAATCCAGGCAGATTTGTATTTTGCTAACACCAGTGGATGCTGTCTGAAAATTAGCATTGTAATTCATTTGTAACAGCTGTTAACACTTGTTTAAAAAAGGCCACTGTTCATTCCTCTGCTTTCTCGATTAACTGAAATTTTAAATGAACTAATCTGACGTGCGTCTGTTGTTTGCCGCGATAGGCTCTGGCTCTCCCATGAACAAGTACTGAATAAAGAGGTAAGAAAATTGATTTAATAAAAGGAATACTTGCTTCGTAGACTTGATTTAAGGTAAATTAAAAGAAGATTAATAATAATAACATATCCTTACACTTCTATAGTGCTTTACTGGACACTCCACTCAAAGCGCTTAACAGGTAATGGAGATCCCCTCCACCACCACCAGTGTGCGCCCCACCTGGATTATGTGATGGCAGCCATAGTGCGCCAGTACGCTCCCCACACACCAGCTTTCAGTGGGGAGGAAGCCAAGTCAGAGATGGGGATTATTAGGAGACCATGATTGGTAAAGGCCAATGGAAAATTTGGCCAGGATGCTGGGGTAACACCCCTACTCTTCTCAAGAAACACCCTAGGATTTTTAATGACCACAGAGAGTTAGGACCTCGGTTTTACGTCTCATCCGAAGGACGGCACCTTTTTACAGTATAGTGTCCCCATCACTATACTGGGGCATTAGGACCCACACAGACCAGAGAGTGAGCACCAATCTCACCTAATCTGTTAAAATTGATTTTATACAGAGGCAGATATCAGGTGGTGTACTGAACCTCAAATTGTATTTGAAGTCACCAACGTCCAGGATTAAAAACAAGTATAAAAAGGTTAAGTGAGTCATTAACTGGGTTATATTTCCTGTAAACTCACTGAGAGCTCAGCTAAAGCTTGAATCCACAGGGTTAACAAGGTGCAGAGCTATAATGCCCTTATCTAAAATGGTTCTGAAAATGGTCTGACTTTTGTATGTAATTAGGTTCTGTGTTTTTGCTGTTTTACAACATAATTCTCTTTAAAATACAATTACCAAACATTGTATTTTATTGTATTAGATCCTAAGATGGCCAAACCTGTTCTTTGCTCTCTAAGTACAGAATTTCTCTAGCATTATTAATCATAACAAATTCAAATTCCACTGTTGCGAGTATTGTACAGCCCACAAATCATATTGTGTTGAATAGAGACTAAGTGATTTGGGAGTCAGTAACCAGCTATGCTATTCAAGGCTTCATAGAAGAAACAGCTGGATGAGATTCTCAGATCAATTAGCCATGAGCAACCAAATGAGCTACATGGGCAGAATGGCCTCCTCTTGCGTGTAACGTTTTTGTTACTGACCTGGGCATTGAAATAGGTGGCATGTTGCCACAGAGGTTAGCATTGTTGCCTGGAGCCTTGGCTTCAATTCCAGACCTGGGGCACTATCTGTGTGGAGTCTGTGTGTTCTTCAGAGCTCCTGCATTTCCCCCAGGTGCTCTGGTTTCCTCCCACAGTCCAAAAACAGGTCAATTAGCTTCTGGGAAAATTGGCCCTGGTGTGTCTGTGTCTTAGTATGTGTGCCATGCAATGGTGTCCCATCCAGGGTGTAGCTTGGCACATGCCTGTGTCTTGCCAGGATAGGCTCCAGCTTCCACACTGTCCTGAATTGGAAGAAGCGGTTAGAAAATGGATGAATTGATCTAGAGAGAACAGTGTCATTCAATGTGGTCTACAAGTAGCATTTGAAGCAGCAGCATATAGTATTCATCTTGTGTTGACATCTCCACTCACAGCACTGACCAGACTCAAACTCCATCTGATCTTCTTAAGCTGGCCTTCAGAGCAATGTAGTGGGTGGAGAGGAACAGGAGATGCCTGCTCTTTGGGGCCCAGTAGGATGTGATCAATACCAGACTATAACAAAGACACATACTATATAATCATCAGTGAAGGAGTGACTTGTGCGTGTGTGTTCTGAAATCAAAGATTTTAAAACTGGAAGCCAAACCACCATGTGAAAATGTGTATATAATAGGACAGGAAGATGAATGGAGGAGAAGAAGGAACAGAGATCAAATAAATCCCTTTGTTTTATTTTTCATAAAGCCTTGAATTAAATATGTTACCATTGGCTTTGATAAACTTAGATTTTCTACATGTGGCATAATGGTTTGAGAAATTATTAGGAAAATATTTCTCTTGTCACAACAGATTGATTCTCTTGACTTCTTGGAACTTGACGAAAACAGAACAGTGTGCCTTTCATCGATACTATAACCAGTTGGGTCAAATTCAAGAGCAGACTGAGAGCTTTCTTTTCAAGCTGTGCATGCTGTTTTGTTGTGCTATTTTATGACAGGCCTCGGGGCAGTACTGCTCTTATGGCACACAGACAGAGAATGTACGCTATTGTCTTTTCCTTAAACAAATAAATGATATTGCATATGAATACAAGAGATCTTTTACAACGGAACAAACTGAACATAAATGTATGATCTCTTCATTGGGACTTAAACCTAATGTGGGAGTTTCCCTCACCAAAACCTTGACTTGACTAGGCACAATCTCAAGAAGGTATTGGAATGCTTCTTGAATTCCATTACCAGAAAGCCACATTCATGAACGTAGCATTCAAGGCAGGAATTCAGAGCATATGATTGTTTTTACCCTGGTCCATTACAGGGTCACAGAGCAAGGGACAGTCTTGAACTGCCAATCAAGCCAAAGGAGCTTAACTGTGGGAAGTGGGAGGAAACAGAAACACCGGAAGAGCACAGAAAGAAGAGCACAGTCCACACAGAAGGCAATCCAGGTCAGAATCGAACCCAGGGCTCGAGCTCTTTGAGGTTGCTGCCAGTGATGCACTGTAACCACCAATATCTGGAAGACACTTCCTGTCAGTGTGACAGGTCCTGATACAGAGGCCAAGAAGAGGTGTACAATATGCCTCTGACACAGTATTTGAGAGCTAAAACATAATGGAGTCTTCTATAGGTCTTGGGGGCCTAAGGCATAAATACCTTTTTATAAAATCTAGTCCATTAATATGCCAATGCAAGGTCCTGCTTTATGGGCAGGTAATTAGTTTAAATCTCTATTTCATCAGAGTAAATAGCTGTGAAATATAATAACTTTATACATGCTAACAAATTTAATAATGAATGTATGCGACTCCCACATGACTCCTACTTGGAGTTCAGGTTAAACCCTGTGGTCCAGACATCTGTGGCTGAAGCTCTGGCCATTAGCTAACTGCTTTCAGGAATTCCCAAGCAGTGTCGCAACACTGATTGCGTGCAGCTGGGGTTAGGCGGATTTTAATTGGCCATGTCCTCTTGGCTTCAGTATAGCAGCAATTCCTGTGGCATGGTGGGTGCCAGCAGGCTTGTAGTGATGCCAGTGAGAGACACGCTGCTCCTCCTCTTGGCACTAACTCTCCTGTATGGCACTGTGGACCTCACCAGGTGTCAGGAGGCTTTCCTGGGTGGGTATGTCAGATGGTCTACAGGTCAGCCTGCTAGTGCTGTAAAGGGTTAGGAACTGTCAAGTTCTTGAGGTTTCAGACAGGTGTTTACCCACCTTTACCCAGGTCCACTACCTGTACCTGTTCACCACACCTGAGAATGAAGTAAGCAAATGACAGCTGTTAAAACCAGGGGCTGGGGCAGATGCTGTAGGTGGTAGAGACACAAGAGATAGGGCTTGACAGTCCACTGCACTGCTGCCTCTCAGGTCTGGGGCCCTGCTTTCAGTTCTAGACCTGGGATTCTGTCTGTGTGGAGTTTGTATGTTCTCTCTGTGTTTACATGGGTTCTACTGGCTGGTCTGGTATTCTCCCAAAGTCTAATAACATAGTGGTAGATTAATTTGCTTCTGGGAAACTTTGCTCTGGTTTGACAGTGTGCATGTCTGTGTGAGCCTGATGTTTCCCTGGATGGACTCCAGCTCCCTTGCAACCCTGTATTGGATAAAGCAGTTAAAAATGGATGGAAGGATGGATAGTATATTTTAAAAGAGTGGCTTGATATGTTGTGTCAAGTGCACAGGGAAATATTGGATTGTTGTGTTTAAGTTTTCGTTATCTCAAATTTTTGTCACTGGGCAATAAAAGATCGATTACTGTCTATAATTACCTTAAGTGACATTGTGTTTGTCAGTACTTCTCTAATTTCAGGTTTGAGTTCTTTTGGTTCCTTTTTTTTTGTTTGTTTTCCTTTTAAAAGGAACAATCGTGTTACAGCTTGAGAGCAATACTATCCAAACCCCGTGCTTAAATTCTCTGGCATGTTTTGGACATACTGTACAGTGGTCATAAGTCCTCAGTCCTGTGGGTGAACCACTGGTCTCAATTCTGTAAGTTGGAAAAGAATTCATAAAACCAAAACCCAGCATGTCCAGGAATCAAAGGTACTGGCAAAATGGCAAGGCTGTGTTTAGATCTAACAGCGTCATCAGTACCTGGGTGGGAGACCTCCTGGGAAATCTAAGGTTGCTGCTGGAAGAGGTGCAACTTTCCTCCTAGCCTTTACTATTCCTGGCCTCCTAATAATCCTCATCTATGAACTGGCTTCATCCCTCTGTTCCCCTCCCCACGGATAGTTGATGTGTGATGAGCATACTGGCGCACTCTGGCTGTCATCACATCATCCAGGTGGAGGCTACACATTGGTGGTGGTGGAGGGGAGTCCCCATTACCTGTCAGGCTCTCTGAGTGGAGTGTCCCAAAAAGCAGCGCTGTATAAGTGTAAGGATATTACTCTTATAACAGGCTTATTGGAGCCTGATGTCTCCTATCACTGCAGCAGAAGATCATAGATCGTACATGTGGTGTGAGCCAGAGTGAGAGCCAGGGACACAGGCCAGAATCCTTCGACTGTGTGTGTGCCTGTTAAGCTGTGGACCACACTGCTTCCCTGGCAAAACTTCTGGGCTTTGGGGATATTTATTATCCTAGCAAAGGTTGTGCTCAGTCCCCAGTCCCACTCAAGATCAAGACCGTCTGGGGTGGGAGGCAGAAGTGCACTTTCATGATACGAATCTCTCGAACAGAGCAATGATAAATCACCGTCCTGCGTTAGAAAGAACAAAAACAGAGCGCGGCACAGAAACGCCACCAGCTGGCTGAGACAGACGAGGCCGCATTCTTGTCTCAGAGCGCAAATCCCAAATCCACAGATTGTATCGGGGGGTTTCAAAGATCTGCAATGTCTTGGCAAGGAGTTTCGGAGAGTTCAAAGCATTTCTTGATATCAAAGGGGTTTGAATTAGTTTGTTAAAAAAAAGTTTTTCTGTTGTTTTTTTTTAATAAGAGCCACATCCGCTGAAGCTCTGGCCAGAAAAAAAATCTTTTTGCACTTTGGAGAGCCTAACTCACTTAAAGGATAGTCCTGTTTTTAGTTAAACGCCTGTATCGGAATTATTTAAGATCCATTTTTAATAGAACTCTGGACTCTACAGTAACTTCCATCAGATTAGCTGTACAGATCACAAAAAGAAACTCAGACTACCTTTGGCTCAGCCCTAGAATTACTCTATATTGTTACTCTCTATAGTGTGCAGCATTACAGGGGTAAAACGGGACTATGTACAGTAGACATATAAACAACAGTCAGTGCTCTATCATGTACATTCAGACAATGGAATAAACTCAAGGAGCAACATGGTGGCACAGTGGTGGCCTGGGTTAAATTCCTGTTCTATCTGTGGGGAGTTTGCATGTTCTCCCCACATTCACAAGGGTCTCCTTTGGGTGCTCTGGTTTCCTCTTACAGTCCAAAGACATACTGGTACACATACTGGTAGGGTAACTGGCCTCTGGGGAAAATGTGAAGTAGTGGTCCAAATACAAACTTAAAATGCAATTATTATTTTCTATAGTCTCGAAGCCTAAAAAATCCAGCTAAAAAAATATCAGAGTGCATTTTGAAAAATCAAACTCCTATTAGATACAGCGTGCCTCTAATTCCAGTAACTGTCCCAACTGACTCCTAACATTGACCGATGTAACTAAACTAGGAAAACATTAAGAAACTGTTAGCTCAATATCTTAATTTCATAATTTATCATTTCTATTTAAAGAATGTGGGTAGGACGGTGGAGAAGACGTTCGTTCTGGTTAAAAATGGATATTATTATTAAAATTTAGTTTAAAAGTGCTAATTAGCGCTAATTTATTTTAAAAATAACGTAGTAAATTAATGTCTGACTTGGTTGTAATAAGCTCAAAACAGTGATGTTAAAAGACCTTGAAGAGCGCGCGTTGGCTGCAAAAAAGTAGTGTACATCAGGCCGACAAGAAGAGAAGACGCTGCGGTTCGGACCTTAAACCTTCTTCCATCGATATAGCATTATGAGGAAACAGTTCCACCTAGTGGGCAGCCGTGGTATAGCAATTAGACAAGGCGTGCTATTTGATATTCTCCCCAACACAATTTACTTAAATAGCCTTAGAGTTATATCTATTACCATAAAATAGTCGAAGAAATCTCACTGAGAAGAAATATATTACTGCGGTATTGGTAATTTTTATTGGCGCTAAATGGCTTCATTAGTTGTTGATACGATAATAAAGGTAATCCCATTGTTAAATATAGAAAAATGCTAATAATGATGTACCAATAAATTATGGCTTCAGTTAGGAGCTACGGCTTCTCATTAGAAATCAACGAAACGAGATGCATTATGCATTGAAGGGCAGGAAAGAAAAAACAACAAAACATGCCCAGATAGCATTAGTTAGGGAATGTAAGAATTTGATTTACTGATGAAATAAGGGATTTCCTTGTTTGTACCGTGTTCTATAGTATATATATATATTTTAAAAGTATATGCACTTGTATAGTATGTTGTATTATCCTTTCTCAAATAACATTTTATATCACGCTTGACATAAAGACAGGCCTTTTATATTGATATTTTTACTTTACAGTTTAATAAAACATATGCAGAAAACTGTTTTGAAATAGTGAAATGTACACAGATACACTTTCTACCTAGTTCATTAATTTACCGAAACCCGCACAGTAAGTAAACGGCACATTCTTATAGACAAAAACTACATCTCCCAGGAAAGCTCTGCGACGGCGCTGATTTTGTGCGTCATCAGGAAGCCGTGTTTACAGAGCGGGTTGCAAATATATAAATTGATGGACACGAGGTATTCGCTGTAGATCCCGATTGGAAAAGGGAAGATTGAGAGTGCTTGGGAAATAAATCGTGCCGCATTGAAATCTGGGCATTACACAATCAGCCTGAGGTAAGAAATAAAATGAACTATTTCATAGAACAGAAGGTAAAGACAGTTTGAAAGTACCTAAAGTTCTAGGGTACAGGAGCTGTACGTAATTAGTACATCGTATTTAAGATTTCATAAAACTCAAGATTTTTATCAACACAACCGAAATGTCTATAAAGCTGTGCTTGTTGTTGCTAAATAGACACAGGTGAGATTGTATCACATTTTCATATAGGGCTTGGTGTTGACCGTCCCACGAACTACAAGATGTAGCTCATAGTCAGCTTTTATTATCTTAACACTTGCGTGTCTGAGTGGGGTCAGCGACTGAGTCTCGACAGAACCCCACTCACAGACGCCTGCAGTCCGGCACGGTCACATTGACCAAATAAGGAAGAGCTGAAAAGGAATTAAACTTTGGAAGAGCTTAACGGGCAAATTCCTCTCAAATAGACACAAACGTCTGCCTTTTCTACTCAGAGACTGACGCAGTTAACCCTATACACCCAGTCTTTCAGCTTTAAAACGGCTAATCACTTTCCTTAAGAAGACATTGGAGCCTTCTCAAATACTCAAATACTGGAATGTTCTTGGCCTTTCTTTCTCTAATCATAATTCCTGCATCTCAGTGGTCTTCATTCAAACTCTCTCCTATTAAACCCTCAAACCTGGCTGCTGGTAGAAAAGTACAGGAGCCAGAAGCCTGTGCTCTCTACACTCTGTTCATTTCTGAGCTCATCAACTCTTACAGAAGCCTACACACAACTATCTCCTCCTGGCTACTAATATACACCAGATTATTAGTCCACAGGTGTGGCCAGTGTCCCACAGAGCCAATCAGATGTGCTTTTTTTCACCTTTGGCGTTTTATTCACTCTGGATGCTAATTAATCAATCAAGGTGTCTCTAATTTTCACTCCCATAGATGTCTTTAAACAAACCCCCTACATTCACCATCAAAATGCACAAGAAGACTCTGATATTGAATTATCAACTATACAGGGGCATTGCAGCCCATGAAACATGAAGTGACTTACAGTATAGTGCATTGCAGTGAGGGTAATGTATTTTAATGGTTATTGCATTGTTTCACGGTAAGCAGTGCTGACAAACAAGGGTTCCTTTCCTCTCATACTAATAATTATTATTCCTTACACAAATAGCTTTACAAATAGCAGGGGACCTATCGTACTTCGGCACTCAAGTGTCGCCCTCACCTGGCTGACGCGCGGAAGGTATTCTGCTCTGCCAGTGAGGAGTTGCCATGAACTGTATTTAGTCTCGTCTCAAATGCTGGTCTTTCAGGACATTGCTCGCTCCTCCAAGCCACAGACATGTCCGAGGGCAGCCCTCCCCCGGCCCTCTCCGGCGAGGCCTTGTCGCACAGGCTGAGGGAGCTGGAGGAGGAGCTGGGCAGGCTGAGAGCCCAGCTGGCGGAGAGGGGGCCAGAGGGCGACGGGGCGAAGGGGGCGGGCCCCCCGCAGGGCGACGGGCGAGCCGAGGAGACCCCGGGGCAGGCGGGAGACGGCGCCGGGAAGACGAGGAAGAAGGGGAGGGCCTTCGATTTCGCAGCTCACCCCCGGCGGCACGTGGCTCTGCGGCTTGCCTACCTGGGCTGGGGTTACCATGGCTACGCGTGCCAGGAGAACACGGACAACACTGTGGAGGCCCGGCTGTTCGAGGCCCTGGTGAAGACCCGCCTGATCAGGGACCGGCAGAGCTCCAGTTACCACCGCTGTGGGCGAACGGACAAAGGCGTGAGCGCTTTCTCTCAGGTACTGCTTTGTGCCCTGTGACTAATCTGAGGACGAGCTGCACTGCTGAAATACATGGAGATAGTTTTTGAATTATTCTCATATTGGAACGACCTGTGGCCTTCTTCTCCATGTAATCGGCGCAATACAGAAATGTAAAGAGGGTCGTCTGCAATTTGTTTCAATGTGGCACAAAGAAAGCTGATCCTTTGTGTCTTTCCATTTTTAAAGCGTCATCGGTGTAAAAAGGCATTCCTTGTGTTTGGTATTAAGAATATCAGGATTTGTTTTCTTGACTTTTAATAGGAACTATAAGCTCTGTCGTGTGTCCCTGGGGATGCATAGCCGAGTTGAAATTAACTACAGAATGAATAGGCTATGCCTTTTATTGAGGTCTTTGACTGTTTTTGAAACATACTGTAACACCTAGGAAATGTTTCAAACTAAACAAAGGCTTTCCCTCAGTAATACCTCTGTTTGGATGACAGACTGGGTGATTAGTAAGGTGTACGGACAGTTTGGCAAAGAGTGTTGGATCATGCTAAAACTGTATGGCAAAACCTGCCAGGTTTCAGCTTTGCTCAATTATGCTTCATTGAGAACAGCTGTGTCTTCTTTTCAGGGCTTTATCAGATTCCTCACTTCTTCCATGGGGCCCAATTCAAACTTCACAAGGCATCTTTGGGTTTCATAGATCACTGAGCACACCTCTGCCCCCAAACCCTCCAGGCATTTCACAGCTGTCGTGCCACTTTAGAAAGCAGTAGTGGAAAAATTGAAATAACCACCATTTCATAGAGCACCATCTGGAGCTTAAACTGCAGCCACGGGATTTAGGATTACATAAATCATACAAACGGGAAAACAAATTTCAGTCTTAAACCTACTTAACTCCTGTGTAGAAAAGCATCTTCAATGAGCAGTTAGCACTGGTGAGAACTGACCCAGGTGTGAGTGTGTCTGTCTGGCCTCCGATGACCAGGTGTCCCGGTCCAGCCTTGCTCCTGTTGCTTGTCAGGATAGGCTGCTGCTCCCCCAAAACCCTGAATTGGATGAAGTGGTTAGGAAATGGATGGATGGTCTATTTGGAATGAAAAAATACACAACATCAGGGTCTTCCAGGACACATATTGAGAACCACTGCAGTAAGAGATTCCAACACAGCATCCGTCCAGGATTTGAAAGTCCTCAGTGCCTCCAGCTTTCCAGCTTGTTTCTGTGTGCATTCCAGGTGATCTCCATCGATCTGCGCTCTACACAGTTCTGTGGGGGGTTGGGGGTGATCCCACCAGTCCAGGGCGCTGTCCCGAACACCAAGGACACTTCGAGCTCAGCAGAGTTGCCCTACGTCAAGATCCTGAACCGGGTGCTGCCCCAGGACATCCGGGTGCTAGACTGGGCGCCGGTGGAGACGGGTTTCAGCGCTCGCTTCGACTGCCAGTCCAGGACGTACCGCTACTATTTTCCCCGCGGAGACCTGGATGTCGAGCTGATGGCGGCAGCGGCCAAACGGTGGGCAGAGCTGACTGGGGTTTCCTCTGCAGAGCCGATGAGGGGGTGATGTGGGCAAAGACGTTCTTTTGCCAGCAGGTCTCCAGCCAACACAGGTGACCAGAGGAAGTGAGAGGCCACTGCCCTGATTGAGCTGATGAGAAAATTTAGGGAGATGAAGCTGAGGAAGTCTTCCTTCCAGATTAGCGGGGACAACGGGGTTAGCCTGATCCTTACAAAGTGTGCTGTGGCCTCTTTGTCCCATGGAGTTAAGGTTTAATGTCTTATCTGAGGGACAGCACGTCCTGCCTCTTAGCGTCCCCTGTCGTCATAGTCTGGCATGAGTTTGGAGCTCCACCTGCTGGTCCACAAACATGACTTTGCTTTGAGGTCTCCTAACCCGCTTCTAATCCCAGTCCTGTTTAGCTTCTGAGGTCTGACAGGTGAGGCTATGTGATAACGGCTGTTTGATTCACATCCTTGTTCTGCAGCTATGAAGGCACGCATGACTTCAGGAACCTGTGTAAGATGGATGTGGGCAATGGGGTTCTTCAATTCCAGAGAACTATCCTGTCGGCCACCGTCCGACCTGCCCAGCCACACCACCACATGTCCTCTGACCCGTATGGCCTCTACGTGTTCGAGGTTAAAGGACTGGCCTTCCTCTATCATCAGGTGAGTGGAGCAGGAAATGTTTGACCCTTCTAGAATTTTACCTGTTGCAATGTGAAATGGGGAATATTCTTGCAATGCCAGAGAAATCAATTTCCTGCAGAAAATCATTGTACAGTAGCTCCATGGCCCCTGTCTAAGCCTTGCTTTTAAAACTTTGATACAGCTGACATCAGGTTCCCAAGAGCATAAGAAAGGCCAAACAGCCTCCTATCCTTTTTAATATACCGAGCATGTTTGAATGCTGATGTATATTAGATCCCAGGTTCTCAGCTGTTTCTTGAAAGAAATTAACGCTCTGTCTTCAACAACACGCCTGGGTAGCTTGTCCAAGATTCCCACAAGCCTTTGTGTAGATAAATGCTTTTTGACAACAGTATGTCAGTGCTGTTGAGGATTTTCAGTGATGATATGATTACATTTTTTTTCCTTTGGTATGTTTATTCTGTATTCTACAGGTCCGTTGTATGATGGCCATCCTTTTCCTCATTGGACAGAAACTGGAAACCCCAGATGTCATTGACCAGTTATTAGATGTTCAGAACAATCCCAGAAAACCCCAGTACAGGTGAGGGAAGATTGGATGTGGCGAACTCTTTTGCAGGCAACCCAGAAGAATTTAATAATAATAAAACATAGTTGCACGACAGTCTTGTCTAGTTTGAACTGTATATGACCCACTGAAGCTCAACCCTTTTCAGTCCATTGCACTGCATAATTTTGCCACATTTGGTTCATTCCTGTAATTGAGAGGTATTGAGAGGGTGAACACTAGTAGGGCTGCATGTTGAATACCCTCCTATTTTGGGTATTAAGTGTTCAGCACAGAGCATGTGAAAGGAGGTCCTGTTTGAATGCAGCCTCAGACTGATGTTGTGTGTTTCAGCATGGCGATAGACTACCCCCTGGTTCTGTATGACTGCCACTTTGAGGGACTGAGCTGGCAGGGTGAGAGCGATGATCTCGCCCACTCGGTGCTCTCCAACCTGCAGCAGCACTGGACGCAGATGGCTGTCAGGACACAGCTTATCCATGACATGATCCAGGGCCTGCAAGAGAGAGGTCAGTGCGTCCATCTGTTTTAATCACTGTCATTGGTCAAGCCCACATCCGTCGTTATAGGAGTTGTTTAACTTCTCTGGTCAATGTCTAAATTGTTTGGTGAGATTGAGCTGAAATCATGGTTGGGACGAAAAGCTGAAAGCTCAGTGACCCTTGAGAACTGTTGTGTGGCTGTAGTTAAAGTTCCTTTTCTGGATTCCTGAAATACTGAATTCCGACATCCACCTTGTACATTTGTTTTGAGTGTTTGGCAGCTGCGGAAGCATGCAGGAACGTGACCTGTTTTTTGTGTTGTGGTGCGTCTCTCTCTTTCAGGAGAGACTTCCTTTCAATCTTGTTGGCTCCTGGAAGGCTCCCGACAACGGAACTACCGCCCCCTGCTGGACAGGCCTCGCTGTGAGAGTCTGGAGTCCAGGATAGAGCATTTTGTGAAGAGAGGCCGCCTGGAGCGAGGGGAATGTCAGAATGGAGAGGAAGTGCTGCAGAGAGGCAAGAGACCCAAACATCAGCACAGCCTGGAGCAGCCCAACTGAATCATCTCTCCATTCCTGTAGAAGAATAATGGAAATGAAGGGACACTGAGAAAATGAACTCAGAGACGACTTTGTTTTAATTTTCTTTTCTTTTTTTTAATGACTGGATTTATTTTTAAAGCTAAGAGATGCGTCTGCTATAAGGCCCCGTTGAGTCACAGATGGAGCAAGGAACTCATCTCATTATGGTAATGATGAGGATACTACTCCATTTAAAAAATAAATTGTAGAATCTGAAATGGATTTCTGATTTCAGCAGGCAGGAAAAGTGAAATGGACTTTCAAAATAAACTGGTGTAAAACAAGGGACATCTAATTTGTTTTCATAGTATCCATCCATAATCTAACAGCTTTATCCAATACAGGGTCTTGGGGGAGACAGAGGTTGCTTGTCAGGACCACAGGTGTAGGGAGGGGGGACACCAGTCCATCACATTGCACATGCAGACACACACACTCACAACAGGGCCTGTTTTTCTTGAAGCCAATTACCCAACTTAATGCATAAAAACCGAAAACATGATCATTGATTATAGAAAGCAACTACCAGCTACAGAACCAGCATTCGTGGAAGAGCCAGCAGTGATTGTTCTCCCCTAAGAAAACTGCTCTTTCAATGACTTTATTCTGTAGACCTTTCATTGAGTCTGCCCTAATATTCACTGGAGATTCACCTGGTTTGGTATCCTTAATCTACACACAATGAAAACAGGCTGAGCAGGATTGTGAAGGCAGCCAGCAAAATTGTTAGTGCACTTCTGCTACTGCTGTCAGATGTTTACATCAAACAAACAGGCCATTATATTCATTGACAGTCACGGTCTTTGACTTTCAGGTCTTGGGGTCCTGGATTTGTTTCTAGCCCAAGAAACATTACATTTTGAGTTTGCATGTTCTGCATGCATCCTGCTGGCAATTGTTAGTGTGTCTAAATTATCCCTGTGTACTTGTGTGTGCACTCTGGGATAGACTGGCATCTCATCCAGGGAATAGTCCTACCTTGTGCCCTATACTTCCAGCATGTGCCCCACATCCTTAAGGAAACAATACATGTTATTCATAGTACAATAACAAACAAAACAGGAGTAGCATCCGCTGGAAAATTATGTAGCAACCATATGCAAAAAGAAGGTGGCAAAACTAAACAAAGTAATTACAAACCATTAAGTGCTACATATATTATATGCTAGGTTATTAAACTATAAATCAGAATAAGAGCATTACTTCTATTGCAGTAAAACTATCGCATCGTCCAGGTGGGGCTACACATTGGTGGGGTCCCCGTACCTGTAAAAACAGTGGACAGCCCGGAAAAGCGCTATATACAGTAAGTATAAAGATGTAATAGTCATAAATACAAGCATATTAGAACATATGCCTACTAGATTATCAGAAGGCTTTAGATAAGGTCCCACATAAAAGATACTCAAATTGCAACACGTAGGCTTTCAGTGGTAATGCATAGTAAAATAAAAATAAATAACTTGATGCTCCAAGAGATGTACTCTAGTTTGTAACAACCTTTAAGATCTGAGCCTCTCAAGAGTACTCCAGATGCAGCTTTATCCATAGCATAGACTTAATTTGTCATGGCTGGAAAGCCAAGCGTAGTTTTTAACTCAAGATGACAGATTTCCGATTGTCCTCCGAGTTTATTTCCACTCAGCGGGGATTGGAGGTTCAGTCTTTAAAAGTCTTCAGTGTCTCTTTTCCTCGGGGAAATTATATATATATATCTCGACATAATTTTACCATAAATGTTATTTTAAATTTTTTTTATCGTTTTATTGTTGCTTCAACGTGAACCGTGCTGGTTAGAGCAGGCTCAAGGCGCCAACTGCCGTTGCGCAACTCGACTCGCGACACCATTGGTCGGGCAGTTATTTGGTTTCGTGTCAGTTGGGTGGCTATAAAAAGGAATTACAGTCCTTTCCGACCTTTAAACAGTGAAAGACACTCGAATATGATTTAATTCGTTCTTCGACTATATTTTAGAGTTGTCTAAAGTGTATTGACCGGCCTCGGCTGCCTCTCTGCCGTGCCCTGGAGTTGCGCAGTCGGTATTTCGCGGCCTGGGGCGTCCGTCACCTTCTGCGCTGTGATCGCGATTTCCAAAAATATATGTATATACACACACAAGAGGGAGCTGAATTTGGCGAGAGTTAACAATGGAGGTGAGTAGATGGACTCTGTTGAAATAAAGTTAATTATGACGTCTGCGGTAAGTTTGACGTTTGCCGCATTTTTGGATTCCGATTAAATCGGTTATTTAACGTTTTCAGCGGAAAAATAAATCGTAGAGTTGTATGGTGGACGGTGTAAACAATAACTATCTTATTGTGGTTTTGTGGCGAAGTATTTGAGGTGTTTACTATAAACAAATAACTGCAGTGATACAATGTACATAGTAGACTGTTGAGTGTGTGCCCTGTTATTTGTTTCTAATTTCCGTTTGGTGTCATCCCGTTAGTTTTAGGTGTACGTTTTTTCCCCTCTATCGCACTGTTAGCAATAGTTCGTCATCGTTGTAGGAAAACTTTTAAAATGTTACTTTGTGAAGTTGCGTCATAACGTCGTGTATAGTCTTCGTTTTCGCTGTCACAAGCCACGGGGCCGTTGCTCGTACCGGTTTATGCGTCTTTTTAACGTGCAAGGAGCGGCTTGGATTATTAAACTGCTCAAGAATAGTTTACATGTCCGGCTCAAGTTAAAGGAATGACGGCAACACGTCAGCCCTGCTCGAAAAGGAGTCACTTCAAAAAAAGAAATGGCAGTTCAGAGCTGCAGCAGTTGACTTTTTTACTTTGAGACGCACTATCCAGCAGAGGAGCAGCTCATTTTATTCTGAAATCACCAGAATCACCACGATTGAGCACAGGTGCAGGGTGATTAGCTTGTTGTGTGATGTGGGATGCAATTGGTGACACCAGAGCTAATATGCAATTGGTGTTACGAGGGGGTCCGTGCACCAGCTCCTGTATCCAGCTCGTTTTTCTAGGCTTTGATTTGAAATTACTTTTCAGAATGTTTGCGCCAAAGTTTTTCACTTGGAGGTTATGTACTATAATGTGTAAATAAAGGTAACGTCAAATAAATTCTGATTTATTGTGTTTTGATTTCAGACTGTCAGGCCACAAAATGTGTTATTTTGGAAAGGGTGTGTCAACGTCCTATAGGCATTGTGCTGTTGCTGGGTGCCATTGATTAGCATTAATGCCTTCCAGGACTGGGGTCCTGGGTTGAATTCCTAGGGTGATACGTGTGTGGTGTTTGTATATCCTCTCTCCATTGATTTCTGCTGTGTGCTCCGGTTTTCTCCCACTGTCCACGACATACTGTACTGGTAGGTTAATTGACTTCTGGGAAAACTCTCCGTGGTGTGAGCGTGTGTGTGTTTGTGCCCTGCTTTGCCCTGCATTGATATGCTGTTACAAGTGATCCAGACAGGGGGTAACACTGTTCTTTCACAGGCTGTAGCTGATGTTTTGCTGTCTGAGGGCTATACTGGACAAACTACACCGTGGACAGCACCTGGGGACACATACAAACCACTTGAATATGGCCAGGGCTATGCTGGCAACAGGTATACAATTTGTCTAAATGATCTGTATGGAAACAATTATAATCCTGCTTTACTGAAGTTAACTAAAATATCAGGGTCTTAGAATACGTCTCACATTCTTAGATTTTTTCATGAATAAGATTTTTTCTTGTGGAACCAAATTTATTAATTTCTGATCACCATAATGGGGAGAATTGTGCCACAGGCTTTCTGTACAGTTTTGTTTTTTATTAAAATTTGGAATATATTCATTCAGTCTAATTAAAACTGGATCAATACAAATTACTTTAAAATACATATTATTATATCCTTTGGGAATCTCATATGACAGTCATATAATAATCAAATGACAAATGTTACTGAAAGCTGTATTCTTTCAGTTCATTCTGACATTTTAAAATGAACTCTTGCATGTGTTGTGTGTTTTAGAACATCCCCCATTCATGTATGCTGTTCAGTTAATATGGATAAAATGATTCAGAATCTGTAATTTTGTGATCCGGATTATTTAATTTGAATAATTTTGACATTACTTTCAGATGACATTGTGACATTACTTTTTATACAGATTACAAATATTCATGGTTACAAAATCTGTGTATTATGGCTTATTAAATCAAAACAAAAGATCCAATAATGTCCAAAGAATAATAGTATCCTACTATACAGGACTGTTGCTGTTTTCCTGAAGTTTATTTTTAAATGTAAAGTGTTTCTGAATTATCATCCCTTTCACAGATATTTTGCAGAGGAAAACTGTTGTGGGACTGATGCAGATCTTTATGGATTGGTGTCAAACATTTTACAAGAGTCAGATAAGATGGATGCATGTTTTGGAGAGGAGTAAGTACTTGTGGTGCTGGAGATTGAATAATTAATCTGGTGATTGAATATCAGGTTTTTAACATTTCTTCTGTATCTCTGTAGGTCACCAGCCACCAGTGTAAGACATATTTGGTCTTCAAATTCAAAGGACATTTTCCAGCAAGACATACATGCTGAATCTAAAATGCACTTGAATTCATCCTATTTACAAAGTCCAGGATATGAAGAATTACAACCAAAAACCGAGCTGCATCGGCAAATAAATGTGTGTGGTTTTACAGATCAGTGGCTTCCTCCCTCAAGCAGTGGAGAAACTACACTTTCTTCTCAGGTGACTTCTCATAAAATGCAGTCACCAGTTTTGTTAAATACCCTTTTCACAAAAAACAAAGCTCCAATTGTGCGGAGGGACTCTGACCCAGACAAGTTGAACATGGATCCTTATTCTGAATATTCAAGCTGCTGTAGCTCAGTAACCAACAAAAGCAAGAGGATTGACATGCAAGAAGCGAATAAAATAGCTGTTAATGTGCAGACGGTGCCTGTTGGTGAACATGATTTTTATAGAAATGAGTTCCAGCCTCAACAAACTGGACAGAGATGGTGTAAAGACAAAGTATCAAACAGCCAGAGTTATAAATATTACAAAATTCTTGCACCCAACAATAAAAAAATGCAGTACAGGAAAGAACTGAATGGGGAATGTGGAGAGCACGGTGATGCTCTCAGTACGGTTGAGGTGCAGACACAACATAGTTGTGGCTCAAGGGATTGTCTGGATTTGAACACTGAGTACTTCAGTCACGGGGATACTTTTTTTGGTTCTCTTCGTACATTCTTCTCTTTCCAGAATATACACGTACCGCCAAACTGTCAGAGCGAGCAGCCCTATTACAAGTTTACAAGCCAGAGTCAGATGGGTGTAAATGTAGAAGGGCTGAGAAGGGGAACAGGAGACGAGGGATTGGAATTACAGTCCACTAAGAGCAGAAAACATAAAAGTCTTCCCAGCTATGGAGTTTCCTTTCAGCACAGTGGTGCTTGCAGGGACGCTGAGCAGGATATGAATAGCCAGCATGAGGGAGAAATGAAACAAAACATTCTGAATCGTAACCTTGATGTTATGGAAGGTGTAAATAGATTCCAAAGGCTACTCAGTGGAAGCAGACGTACCTGTATGATTCACCCAGGAAAAACACCCCAAGAATTTTTCTTCCCAAATTTGTATGCAGTGGGTGAGAATAGGCAAAATAAGTCCTGCTCGAATCTTAACTCAAAAATGTCTTCCTCACAATCCACTGTTCCTCATGGTAGCTCTGTTTCTCTTTTTGATCATCATAATGCGCTACCAGACAATGAGTTCAATCAGTTTTACCCCACTGCTAATGGCAAGAATGGGGATATTCCTTTACCTGGCAGAACTCCAACTTTTACATTCAATGGATTGAAGAAGAAGTGGTGTGGTCCTTTAGGCCAGCTCCATCTTCATTTTGTGGAATGTTATGAACAGCAGAGATTGCTAGAAAAAGAGAGAAAAAAGGTAAACATTGTATAAATTGTTTCTTTTATTATATACCTGTATGATATCAACAAATCCATATAACCAAACTAAATTGGTGGGAAACATAAATCCAATACATCAAAGAATGAACTTTAAAGTGCCATTGATATTCTCCTTTTTTAGCAGAATACTGAATTATTCTAACTGGTCAGTACATCTTTTTTTGTAGAAAAGATGGACTTTAGATCATTGAGTCTCCTTCAAAAGACATAACACAAATGATTTATGGACAGGAATTAAGGTTTAGTTGTATGTTTATTCTGCTTCACCCTCGTGAGCTTTAGTGATCAAGTTTCACTCACTGTGGAGCTTTTAGAATTTACGAATCTAGCCACCTTACTTCTCCTTGATGTCCATGAGCAGTAGATTACTTGGTAAATTTGTTATTTGTGTTTTTTAAGCATGCTGATTCATAAAATATTTTCATTTAAAAAATACTCAAAAGTTATGATAAAATTGTTCTTTGTGGTTCTTCTTCCTTTTCTTAACAGACTGAAAACGTTCTTGCTGGGAGCTATCCAGGGATGAGAATCTCGGCTGTTAACAGCAGCTCCTTTCCAAATCATCTCCCTAATACTTTACACATCCATAATCTTATTGTGGACCTGTTGAATGAGATAACAGAGGTTTGTTCCGTGTAACACCCTTAAGTGTTTTTTATTTCATGAGGAATAACAACTTCCAAGAAACAGACACTTTGGGAATGTTGATTGAGTATTTTTCTTTTAACCTTGTCTTTCACCAAAGAGAAGATTGCACTGGAATATAAGCTATAAAAATGAGACTTTAACCTTTAATCACTTAATTTACAACATTGATTCAACCAATAATTGAGTTTGTTGTTTGTTTTTCATAAGGTTATAGGCCTTTTAAGAAAAATGGAGCATCTTATTGGCGTCCCTTTGCATGCTAATATCAATGCTGCACTTGAAGAACATCTTGAAGTTATTGATGAGGCACAGCAAAGGATGGAATTAATTCACTCATCAAATCAGCAGCTGAAGGGACCTCCAAGATTCAGAGAAGATAACGGTATTAAAGACTCCAGTGACATTTAATGTGGGAAAATAGTCTAAGATCTAATTTGTATAATATAAATCTATCATTACAGTTATATGAATTGGAAGTCTAAATGGGATAGTTTAGGTATTGACCTTTCAATTTCCTTAGTTTATTTTTTTTAAACTGCGTTTATACATGTTTGTTAATCCTGTTATTTTGACATCATCTGGAAACTTTTCAGGTTTACTAACTATACCAAAATCATTTCAAACATATCCAAGTTAGTCCCAGGAACACAGAATCCATAGAGAAATATGAACCAGATGACAAAAATGGAAACTTAGGCCTTTGAAAGAGCTGGGTGAGAGGAAGCAGCCTAGCCATGTTATCAAATATAATACTATTTGCTCTTTTAAGAATCACCTGGACAAGATCCAGTATCAGCTATAAATGAAACAAGCCTGAGAAAATCTTTGACTTTTCTGTTTTATTATTCTTATATAAAAATGTATTTGTTTTGTTTTTCCTCTTTTAGATATATTGCTTCTGGCTGCAGCAGTGAAGAACATGGGTTTGGCTACAAGAAAGTCCCGCACAGCTCTTTGGTCTGCACTGCAAATGACGCTGATACAGATTTGAAGCACAAGTAAAAGGAGAGGTACAGAATGAAGGTGTCCTGCAGGGACTCGCAAACCCCAGAGAGGACGACCATAACAGCACTGTCTTATTGTGTAATTCTGAAAACCTTGGAACATAATCATGCATATTTAGATCACAAACTCTAAATTGGATCACGTTTTCAAATAAAGAAATGTGTGAGCTCTCATGTTTCAGTCCTTGCAGTTTTGGAACATGACATTGTGGTTTCATCTTTACATGACTCAAAAGTTGAGTTCTATTTGCTGTGCCAGTAGGGCATTACTATTTAAAAATCCATAACTTTGGAATAATTCAAGACAGAAAGTTTTGTGTTCTATTTAAGTTGCAAAGATAATATATTAAAAATATAAAAAGATTCATTTTTAAAATGTTAAAAGTGATATGTAGCATTGTTGAGTGATTTTCTATAAAAATACAAATTTTGGTATGGTTTTGTATATGCATTTTGGTATATGTTTTGTGTCAACCAAACAACATGATAAGAAGTGTAAACTTAAATCTGAAACATAAGAATTCTGATGCAAACCAAGAATTTAACCCAGTATGGAAATTTATATTTTTAAGGTTAGAATTTTGATGTGATCAGTAGCCATAGTCTTTGTTAAATATGTAAATAAATTAGGTTGTTGATTATGTTGGATTTTGTGTCCTGGTCTTATTTAATGACTATCCAGAACAAATGAAATCAGTAAAATGAAAAAAAAAAACTTACATGGTACTTGGATTAGGTCCCTTAATACAGTAGCAGACAGAACATTCTCAACTGTAGTGTAATACCTATTTGAAAATATATTGAAAAAGTCAATTAAAATGTACACTGAATAAATTAATAGCATAACTCTCTTAGTAAAGAGCAATTTCATATCAATCTGACTTCAACATAAAAAGAAAATAACATTAATTTGAAACTAAATTGACTTCCATATGAATAGGGTTACTTGTGCTTGCGGGGTAATTTTGGCCCAAAACTGCTACATTCATTCATCAAGTTTACAGATCATCAAAGGTATGATTACCTCTGGAGACAAATATAAGATGATAATGATGCCACAGTAAGTTAAACCATAGGTAAAACAATGTAATGATTGATCATGTGCTGTTTTATTAACAGGACTCTACCATTGCCAAATAAACAGAGTAATTTTCAAAGAAAACTTCTATTGGACATCTACATTGTTTCTTGCTGCCTTTATTGAACATAAAACTGTCACAGCACAGGAAGCAAATATGTTTGCATTGGAATTAAACCCTTGAAAATCAGTCTGTTAAATTCATTACGTAAAAGAACATTCTAATTTGCTGTTGAGGACTGGCTATTTTATATCTCTTCTTCTTCATAACATAATTCATGAAACCTGGTAAATCTGGACATTTGCAAAATATTTGTGGTGTCTTACATGTGGAAACCTTTGCAACAGAGGTAGTAGAGTTGAGGAATTGTGTATATTTTGATGGAAGTGCAGATCAGACTTCTTAAATTCAAAAAGACAGAGACAGTGAAAGACCAAGGATGTGTTTTTTTTTCCCAAAAGCCATATAAACATTTAAAAGCAAAAATGCCCCTCAGGGTCAATAGTCTAGTCTATTTAAATTGTTAGCATTCACTAGGGATGTCTGCAATTCAGTGATTTTCTATATGTATAACTGAGGTTCACAGAGACTTTAATTGTCCTAGAATTGCTTAAATCAAATAATGCTGAAACTAACATTGCCAAACCTACGACCCTTGTTACTAGCTACTGATAGTAAAAAACTTGACACCTCTCCCTCTATTTTCATTACAAAAATGTTAGATTAAGATAATATGCTAAGTAAAATACTTTATACATTTTTTACTAAAAATATAAAATGGCATTATAATGGATGCTTTACAATAAATTAATGTCTGATGTGCAGCTATTTCTTCATTCGTGAACCTTTAAATTGATTTTGTCCTTGGTTAGTGCTTAAATGATGACTATAATAATACTTAGGCTATTATATGAACAGACCAAAAGCTTCCCAGTACTTACATCTTTATTTTAAAAAAAGTTTAAACCAAAACCTTATGTGTCCAATTTAATATATTGTTGCAAAATCATAAGGTGTTTCCTATCAATTACAGCAGTAAACGTACACTTCGCTTCTGTAAAAATGCAAGATTTCTGAACAAAAAACTCTTCTCTTCCAGGTGGGATAAATCTTTCTTTGGGTGTATGAAATTTCTTTTCAGTCAAATTTTGGCATAGTGAATAAAAAAAGCTTGCAGAAATTATCTAAAGTATTTACAATACAACACAAATGTGTTGTAATTACAGCAGCTGATTTGGAGACCTTGCAGATATTCAGTAGCCAGAAGATATGCAGGTGATATCTGTAATTTGAATATTTCAGCCAATCATTTATTTGAGCCTGGACATCAAACATCCCAACTTTATATAGCAATCTACTGAGAGAAACCATGGAAAATGTAACAGTATTTGATCTGAGGGTATTCTAAAACCTATCCTTTTTAACAATTTAAAGAAATCAACTGAAAACTTAGCATGACTTGATGACATAAATATTGATCACTTTCAAGACCTAAAAGTTCTAATTCAGATGTGCATTATTCCTTACCCATAAACTGACTGAAATGTAAGCAAAATAAAGCAGCATTAATTTTTAACTTATTCCACTTTATCACCTGTATTAACTCCCCTGTGTTGTCTTTGACCTGTTCAGTTCTCCCCAGTTCACCTGAGCTTTTAAAAACTAACTTTCTGGGAAAAAACTATTTTCCATTTCACTACCAATCATTTGAATTTTCAAAGTGGTGAGGAAAAACAACCTTCCATTATCTAAATATTCAATATACAAACCACAATGTTTTTTATTGCAAAACCACTTTAACCAAATGCACAGAGAGCCTTTTCAGATTTCCAACTAATTTCTTTTATGGGGTCACTGGCTGTCCTAAATAAATATCTGTTGGCATGTTTTAAGGCTTTTGTGTATTTCTGCTTTATTTCCTAATAGATTTCAAACAATCAAAGTTTTTTTTTTGCTTACTACTAACTCCAATGGGAAAATGAAAACAGGCGAAATAGCCTAAGCTCTGAAGGCAAATGCAATTGGTCAGGATTGTTTTTTTTTGGTTGAATGAAACACAAATCCAAGGAGTTAAAAGCTCAGCTGCGTCCTGACAGAAAATGTGCCGTTGTATTCAGGATCAAATCCAAAAGCCAGATTCTTATCTCTTCCGTTCTCCTTTCTGTGTCCGCTTCTTTTCCTTCTCCTTCCTCTCCTGCTTGGCAAGTTTATCCTTCTCCCTCTGCACCTTGTCCTGCTCTCTCTTCTTCTGGGAGTCTTCCCGGGCTTTTTCCCTCTCCTGCTTCTTTGCATTCATTACGTCTACCAGGTTGGTGTTCTTAAACAGGGCTGAATCTCTTGTTAAGGAATACTTACTCTTCCTCTGCCAGGTCATCTGTCTTTAACTGCAGTATTATCACAGCAGTCTGTGCCCAATGAAGACATCGTCAACTTACTGGACTAGTCATTGAAACTAGTGGCTTGCAGTATCTTCTGCATTTGGCTTCTTGTACATCTATGCAAGAGACATGAAAGTCTCTCTGGGTTGTCTTTCAAATAAAAGCCTTTTGACACTCGAGCCACAGAGTTTCCTAACCTCATTTCCCTACGTACATCCTAATCATTCCCTTCAGAGGCACTGCTCCTGAAATCAATACTGCGGTAAATCCGCGTGAAGACTTTCAAAGACACGAAAGCTGAAAAGGATACATTTGTTGCTGTCAAAAGTGGAAGCTGCTCCAGTCTCCTCCTCTTCTGCAGCTTCAGTGGTAATGTTAAAGAAACGAATGGAAGGATTTAGTACATTCTGACGCATTTTCCATTTTAAAGTACAGATCCAACCTCTTAATTTATTTTAAATGGTGAAAATGAACATTTCACAGCCTAAGACATGAAATGGAAGAATGTACTGCGTTAACTCAAAGTGTGAGACAGACCTAGAACCATAAAGCAGAGTTTTAAATGAACTGTGGTTTCATTTTTCAGGTATAACATTGCTGGATTTGAAATGATTGACCTGGGAAGACTTCACTACACAAATACTGGAAATTACAATATAATAATCATCAGATTTATTATGACGAAATAAAAAAAATCATCTAACAAATGGCAGTCTTGATGTGTTGATAGACACACTTGGACTGTACACAGTTGTCAGATGGGAGGGGTGAAACACCAACCAGAGGACACAAGGATGACCACTTAGCACAGAGAACAAGAGGCACTTTCTTTATCGAAAGCGTTGTGAAAGTGTGAAAGATGTTGAAGCTGGTACCTTGTTTCCCCTTACATATCAGCTGGATGAGATCTTGGGATCAATTAACTATTAACTCGATGGGCTGAATGGCCTCATCTCGTTTGTAACCTCTCATGCTCTAGATTCTTTCCAAAAGGGCCAAAACTGAACACTTCACTTTTCAGTTCTAAGCTGCAAGTCTGTATCATTTTGCTCCACTGTAAGAGCTCTGATCAAGAGCCCAATCTGAACACACAGCTCCTGCAGAGGTTCATGTCTTTGCACCTTTGTTTTTAGTTCCTGTTGGAATGCAAGTCTGAAAACACGAAGAAAAGCTGAGAAGCTCTGGATTCACAGGCCAGCATAGAAAAATGCTATCATGTGGGGCTAAAGGATATTCCTCATCGTCTGTGATGTTGCTGTACTGGGCGAGAAGAGCCTGCTTCCTTTTCTTCTCCTCTTCCGACACTTCTCTCTGCTTGACCACGATCTGTGCCTGTTTCTCAATCATGTCGGCAATCGCTTGCAGCTCTGCAGACAAGGTATGGATGATTAAAACTGACCTGTAACACATACCCTCCAGTGGCAGCCTGGGACTGCAGTTGTGCCCGATGGCTTACGCAGTGCCTGGCTCCATCGGGTGATTGACAGCTCCACTAGCATGAAACGCAAAAGTCCGTAAAGCTGGATGTATTCTGCATTTCCCTTCTATTTTCTTGATTATTACAGTCCCCAATATAAATGTATACAATGATTTAGTTTTAATGAGTTAGAGCAGCATTTTATGGATCTTGCTCCGGGTTACATAATTAAACGAATTATTTAGACATTCCTTCCATGTGGTTCATGTATATCTTGCAGGCAATGCACCTGCAAATCACAAGTACAGTAACACCAACTTAATATTTTATGGAGCAAAAAACAGTATTAAGTACTAGATAGCTTGATGGAAAAAAAGACAAGTCTGCAACCCTTTGCATTTTTCAATTTGGTTTTTGCTTATGCTACTATTCACAATTAAAAATTAGAATTTAATAAAAGGGTACGGAGACAGAATTTGAAGGACATTATGCTGATGAGCAGTGGAATAGGTGCCCTATCAGCGGACAGAACTTCACACTAGGAGTGCTAAGCAATTACTATTACCTTGCCTAACCAATTAATCTTTAATTTCTCATTTCTGGGGGTGAGAGGTGTTATTTTGTTTCTTTTTGTTGGCTCCTGAAGCCAGAACTGTAGAAACAGATTCGGTAAATATTTAAAGACATGCACATGCAAATAATTAAACTTTATTAGAATGCAAAGCTCTCATATGACACCTGAAGAAGGCTCCAAATCAAACATTGTTTTTCTTTTCTTTACCGTTCAGCATGGAAATACCCTCTACCTGTTCCTTTGCAGCCTATGCATGCTGAGGCAGCTCCCTACTCGAATGTCTTCAAAGCCGTCATAAGACAGGTTTCGACTAAAAGCACATTAGTACTGTTTTACAAACAAAACAAGGTGGAATTGTCCAGGAGCAACAGAGAAAAAGAGGGACACTGCCTGAATGAACTGATTCATAAACATTTCTGATCTTGTCGAGAGAAAAAAGGTATTCAATGACTCTGGCACAGTACACTGGAACGACCAATACCATCTGAAGATTTGTTCTCGGCTGCTGACAGCGCGCTGCTCTCTGTCCAGTGTTTAACGATTTCTCGGCACACGTTTTCTAACGCATCTTCTTCCTACAGAAAGGGAATAACTGGACATTAATAAAGAAATGCATTATACAACATATTCCCATTTCAGGAAAGAAATTCAAGAATTGCATGCGATTCACTTAACAGAAATAAAGATTTTAGATCCAATTTGAAGAGCACAAATAATTCTTCTCAATTTTTCTAACATGATTTGTGCTAGAACTCTTTATAGAGTGGATAAGAATAAACAACTAGTTCTTTTTTTACCTTTAAACTTGTAATTAACCTTTTTCTAGTTCATTAGTAACATAAACTCAAACCCAAAGCAAAACGTGACCCCCAAAGACTAGTTTTGTATCAGAAAGATCCTACATAACGGACGCTGCTAGTTTGTACACTAACATCACTCCATAGGTATGGGTGTTCAGATAGTCTAACTATAGCACAGATCGCAGAACTGACTCAGTAATAGGCAGAGGAGGAATGCAGCTTGTTTTTATCTAAATATAGATAGCAAGGCCTAACACATAAATCAATGATACCATCGAACGAAATGTGACTGAGCCAAGACCTTTAATGACCTGAACTATTGAACACCAACACTGGACTGTTTCAGGCCGTGAAAACACGTCTCGTCCACAACTTGTCTGATGACACGGCAATAACAAATATACTCTGGAATATTCATAAACCATCTTGCTCAGCACGTCAACGGGTTGCTGCTGCCACAGGTGGAGCATACAGTTCCGTTTGTGAAAACGAGACACGATTTTCTATTGTAGTCCTCTTTCACTCAACAGGGAGTGCAGTCAACATAAATTGAAGCGTGCGTACAATCGATATCAGCTCTGCACAGCTCAACTGAAGGCAAATTTGAGTATGCCAAATGTGAATTCCGTTTAACGTGCGCAACCACGAAGCAATAAAAGAAGCATGGCAATTTCTTCAGCGGCTCTCGGAGCAGAAGTTGCGATTGTATGGTTGAAAAAAAAAATCAAACCCTAGATTTAGTACAAATGACCTCATTTATCTTGGGCAAGATATTATTTAAATAAGTAAAAAAAACATGAACTACTTGCCACATAAAAGATAAAACCCTAACCCTCACCGAGAGTGTCAGGAGCTAAGGAATGCAACCCATGCCGCGACCAAGTCGAGACACCCGGGCAAGAGCTCACCAGAAACGCGGAGAGAATGCCCCGGAGAGCATCCATCTTCTCCTCTTCGCTCTCTTCTTCCTGCAGCACCCCGAGGATGTACACGCCATAAACATCGCGATCCACCTCTAACGCGTCCAACCGACTCCCCAGCCAGCTCTCGAACTCCCCGGCAGCTCCTCGGGGCGCAGCCATCTTGGCTCTGCGGGGTCCTGGGACGCTGCTCGGGCAGCCCTTACGCATTGCCTGAATAATTTCCGGGGAAGAGCACAACCGGAGGACAGCTCTAAAAGAAACCTTCGCCAAGCCGAAAGTAAGTACCATACACGTTTTACGTGCAGACCCGTTTTGTTGCTTCCCATCCGCTGCCATGGAAATAGGGTGAAAAAAAAAAACAGCGAACTGTTTGGTAAACCTTCCGTCGTGAACTTATTTGCAGCTCTCCAGACTGAGCTAACGCTGCTGGGCTTTCATTAAAATGTGTTCTGATTTACAGATTTTCCAAATACATTCTTTTGGACATGAATCCCTTCTGTTACATGTTGCATCCTATGTGGCGAGGAGCAATGCATTACCAAGGACAAATATGAACATCTTTCCCCTGCAGATTTGCATGGGATTTGTTGGAAGTACTCGCATGAAATCCTGTGAGTTCCGAGTACAGTACTGGTACAGACTTTTCCGAAACTTTCTTCTGTATCGTCGTGATTTGTACCGAACTCGTTCAAGTGTCCCTTCTAAAATAATTGTGTTTATTTTCGTCCTCGTGTCCTGTCATCTGGTGGAGGACGTGACAGCGAAGCTACAAGTGACACCACACTCTTGTGGCTCGAAGCTGTTGTGTTAAAAATAAACAAGGGGTTTATACAGTAGTTCACCTTGCCGTTCTCAAAGGTGAAAAACCGGTACTGTTTATTTGAAATAACAATTGCTGCAAACAGAAATCCTCTCTCTATCCACAGCCGCATAATCGATATCCACACATTAGTACCTTAATTGCATACTGTATGTGTGCCGAAAAGTGTGTTGTGTATCAGGGATACTATCACATGTCGTGTGGATTAGCGACGTGGTTTGAGACTTTCGCGTTTACATAATCGGATCACGGCTGAGTAAACTGCTTTGGTAGGAAGGTAGCGCCGTTCAGGTGTATTAACAACAGAACTAAATAAAAAAAAAGTATTTTGCCCAACTAAAACAACAATGCAGTTTTAAATGAAAGCACTTGCAATAAACCCTCTTTATCCCGCAGGGCGCAGGAGTTTAGAGTTGGTCTGTACGCGCACCTCCTAGAGGAAATGGAATAAATTATTCCTCCTTCAGCATGGAATAAACCTATTAGTATTACTTGTTCCTTTGCCTCCTAGAGGAAATACTACGTCACTGTATTATTCATATTTTATAAAGCCTGGTCTAAACGATTGGACTGGCGTTTTAACGCCTTTAAAAATGAAGAACGTATATATGTGTATTTTAAAGAAATTAAAATAAAATAACAGATATTCATGTAAAATAAAAGATGCGGAACAGTAACGTGAACATTTGGAGACATTATACTGCTTCAGAAGCACTTCAAGAAAACTGTTCATATACTGTAACATACGTACAGTATTTTACCAAAAGCGTCTGAGGGACCCTTAAAGTAATTATATGAGACATCTTTTTGTATCTTTATTGTCCTTTAAAATTTCGTATTTCACAAATAGATTAACCAGGGCCAACTGATTCACCCTGGAAATGAGCTTTGAGAAAACACGTATTTGAGAAAATACTGTAGGGTACTTATAGTTACAGATGCAAGTATGGACTTCTTATCCCTGAGACAGTTATTTACATCTTGATTCAATGTAATAATACTTTACTACAGATATTATCTTCATAGATAAGTATATATATATATTGCTTTGTGGTAGTATTGCAGTTCCCCATTTGCCTTGATTCTGTAATGAATGTTAAAATGGGATGTAAATATGAGCATACAGATGTAACTGTGAACACTATGGAACTGTAAAGTGATCCCAAGACCTTCAGCTTATCGAGTGTTAATTAGAAAAAATAAATAACGGAAAAAGTCTAACACACTAAAATGTATTTAATATTTTATGGACTCTTGGACTCTGCATATGTTGCCTTTTATCTGTTTTTGTAAGTCTGCACACAAGTATGTTTTTAATACCAGAAGTCCCAGTTCTGATCCTGTGTAATAGAAGATTTCCTGTTTTCTATTCTTGTGTCTAAAAGACTGTCTATACAACAGCTTGAAATGCTGCATTTCTGGCTCATCAAAGATCCTGCAGGAGCACATTTGTTCATTTTTTAAAATAAAATAGGTATTTTTTTCCAGTGCATTCATTAAAAATTGACTCAACATTTAATTTCCATTCCACTTCCGTATGTTCTTGGTAATCATGCAGCTCGAAGTGAAATCGCAATAAATTAATCAAAAGGTTTTCAGGCTTCAATGGCCCTAAATGTGTTTCCTACGTGTGACCTTGGGTCTTGAGTCGTGGCTGAGCTTGAAGGAGTCTGCCGAGAATGCTTGCTCGGTGCCTTTCAGGGTATTACACACCTGAATCAAGTTCCTAAAGCGGCTGTGTTTCCTGCCGTGGTCTGGCTTGTGTCTGTACCCTGTCTGTCTGTCTGTGCAGGATGTTCCTGGTGGGGCTGACCGGAGGGATTGCCTCAGGGAAGAGCACTGTGTCCTCAGCCCTAAAGGAGCTCGGCTGCCCGGTCATTGACGCTGATGTGGTGGCCAGACAAGGTACTTTGGAAACACAGCCCTCACTGGGGATGTAACTTTGGTTTCAGTGATCTGAGTCACAGGTTATGCGTACTCACAAAAACTTTTTTTGGTGATGCTATTTGAGCTACAAATCACAGTGTATCTTTCTTTCACTAATCATCTTTCCCTAATTGGATTCTTTTCAACTCCTTTGCTCCCTTACCTATCCAACCCCTCTCTACCACAGAGACTGCAGGCCTGTCTGCTGGTATTAAAGCACTGGAGCCCATAGGACCTCCCCTGTGCTCCTTAGACTCTGTAGTCACGTCTGAGAACTCACTCTCTTTCTTTCCTACAGGAGTTCAGACAGACTAGTTCCACTTTACCTCCTGCCTGCTGTTGTACACCAGCTAATCTAATCCATGGGTGTGGCCAGTTACACACAGAGCCCATCTGATTTGCTCTTTTCCTCATGTGGAATCTCACTCACACTGAATGCCAATTATCTAATTAAGCCAGGTGTGTCTCATTTACACTCAGTTGGTTTTCAAACAAAACAACCTATTTCATACTTACATTAGCATAAAAAGCATAGTCTTAAGCCACAGATCATCCTATTGCTTTAGTACATTCTATCAAATCACAGATACAATTTTATTTAGTTTAGCTTTCCACTGTCTTCTTAAATCAAGCCATAGAGGTTAGTCAAGTGGACCAGTGAGCACATGTTAACAAGTTCTATCCCACACCAAAGACCCACTGTGGTAATTTTCAATGTTTTTCTCTCCTGACAATTTTATGCCACAGAGGCTGAGGTCAGTGGACTGTCAGTACCAGCGGACCTGTTTCACAGTCTGTTGCTTAACTTCTCAAATAAGTCACTAAGGCTTACTCTTGCAGTATTTTTAGTGTTATTAACAGTGTACTGAAAACAGCTGTATTGTTAACTGAGGTATCACATTAAATAAATCTCAAAGTTGTTATAAATAATAGAAGACACTAGTCTTCTTTGACACTTTGAACAAATTGCTCATAATGTGCAGATATTTTAACTCCAGGCTTGTCATGCTGTCCAATTTTTATTGCTTATTTTACCAAGGATGCTAAAGAGTTTCAGGATAATATCCTGTCCCTACTAAACACTGAATGCTGAAGTTCACTATTTTCTAGAGGGGAACACAGCAGCCATTCTTTTAGTGCCACTTAATCAGCATGCACCATCATTTTCTTCCTGATAATGTGAATGACAGCAGGGTCTCGACATTCTTGAGGGTTCGAAACAGAGATCCATTACAAAGAGCCAAATTCTCATATAACAAAGTCCATCCCTTTAACTTTCCATAAATGTACTCTGTTATGTAGTGTGTATGGTTAAAAGACATAAGTGACCGTCCCTTACATGATAATTAAAGTATTAGTGCATTGGCTTTAGGTTAATTTCAATACCATTGATCAACTAAAACGAACAGCAGTAATCATGTAAACTTATAGTTATTACTTCAAATAATAATAATAATAATGGCTTACAGTTATATAGCGCTTTTGTGGACACTCCACTCAAAGCGCTTTACAGGTAATGGGGACTCCCCTTCACCACCACCAGTGTGCAGCCCCACCTGGATGATGCGACGGCAGCCATAGTGCGCCATTACTCTCCCCACGCACCAGCTCTCTGTGGGGAGGAGAGCAGAGTAATGAAGAACAGGCATCCCTTCTATGCATCCAGTCTGCACTGTCAATACAACACAAAAACAGGAGCATGCTGAGATGCAGGTGTTGGGAAGTGGGTACATATTGTAGGCAGTAGACTGGGAGAGTCTCACTCAGTAGCTTGATTCAACTCACAATACTAGTCTGTTTCACAGCCTTCATCTGAGTTTCATCCCACTCTGCTCTTTCATTAAAGAACCCGTTGGACAGATCGAATCATGACTGATCAAGTTTGTGAATGTTAAATGTGCAGCTATCGGGACCCTACTGTACTCTCTTGGATAAGGGGCAGTGTGTTATGTGCAGTGTGTCTTGTGAGATGTTGTGCCATCGTCTTACTGGTGTCCTTTCGGCACTAGTGGTGGAGCTCCACAGCCCAGCCTACCAGAGGATAGTGCAGCACTTTGGCTCTGAGATCCTGCTGGAGAATGGGGAGATCGACCGTGAAAAACTGGGTCACATAATCTTCTCCAACCCAGAGAAACGCAGGCTGCTCAACTCCCTCACCCACCCTGAGATCCAGAAGGTCATGCTGAAACAGATTGTGGGGTATTTCCTGAGAGGTGAGAGCTCTTCCTGCTGCTTTAACATCTGAAAACATTACTGCCTTCACCTGGCTTGAAATCAAGTCCTCACATTCCTGGTGTAATACCCTTTGAGAATGCCTGCTCTCCAGCCCTCATCCCTGCGGTCACTGGCCACGTCAGTACATGGTCTGAAACTGAAGCCATATGGACAAAAAGTGGTAGATTATCAAAACCACCTGCTGCCAATTTAATCATCATGCTACCTCGGCCCTGTTAGACGCTCACTCATCGAGTTCATTCCTCTCAAGTCTCAGGGTTTGTATTCCATAGTGTTGGATCTCCCAGCTCTGAATGTTCTGTTTTCGGATATTTTCCTCCTGGTGCTTTTGACCTGATTGTTGCCTTATGTGCTCTGAACACAGCTTGGACAAGCTGCTCTTTAGGACTTTCAAGAAATGACTGAATGAGCTACTTTGATCCATTCATTTCTTGTAACCAAGCAACCAAGATTTGAGGAATTGTCTTCACTCATGTAAAACTTTTTTGTGTGTTTATGTTAAAGCGTCAAATGCAGGGACATCGAGTCTGGAATTTGCCCAAATGCTTAAAATTACAATTACCAGAATTAAATACGAATTTGATCCACATTGTCAATTCTTATACTTCAAGCTCAGTACTTGTTTGAGATGCCCCTGAGACATCAATTCAGTTACTTTTCACTCACACGCACAACTTTTTTTTTGCATAGTTTACGACTGTACTGTTCATTATTGATTGTCTTTGCAGTCATGTGTGTCATGTATAGTATAATTTCTTTCACGGTGCAGGAAACAGTGTTTGTAGACAGAAAATCAGTATTTAGAACACATGTGTACTCAGGGATTGCAGTCATGAAAAAACAGTTTAGCATTGAGCATCCGGAGATCACAATGCTAGATGTGAGGTAGGGATGAAACCTAATCTGTAAGGTTCTAAATGTGCCTTTAGTTTGTAAAGGTACTTAAAAATAAGTTTTTCTATTGTGCTCCTTTTTAACTGAAGAACAAAGTAGCAACTTGAGATGATGAGCCTGCATTATGGGGAAAAAAAGATGATCTGCAGAATTCAAGTTGTAGTTGCCTCCTTGTTTCTGTACGAGGTCACCTTTTGTGTTTTAAGTGTTCTTTTATTTGGTGTATATTGGTGTTTGAGTTGAATGTTTTGACATGTAATGAATGCTGTACCAAACAGAGAATACCCCTGATTCTCTTATAGTAATTATATGCTAATTGCCAGAGTTTAATTGGCCACAATAATGGAGTTGTCGGTTCTTGAGTAGGCACCAGCCTTGCACGTTCTCAAAGGCATGCAGAGCGTGGAAGTGTACCCCACCGCCTGACTCCCCTTCCTCTCCGCCAGGGTACCGCTATGTCATCCTGGATGTGCCCCTGCTCTTTGAGATGCGCCGGCTCACCCGCTTCCTGAAGCACACGGTGGTGGTGTACTGGTGGGTAGCCCGTAGCTCTCGCCAGGCACTGGGCAGAGCTGGTGTAGCAGCAAGTCTGTCTGCGTTTGAGTTGTGATCCTCGTGTGTTTCTTCACAAACCCCCGGTCTACTGAGCTGTCCTTCTGCCTGTGAATGTGGATACTGGGATTTAGGAATGGTTGAATATCGTTCCCAATATTAGATTAGTAAAAGCATTTTCATTATGTTGTGGTGACATACTGATGCGATGACACAGGACAGGACACAGGAGTAGTGAAGGTCTTCAGTTTTATTCACTGCAACTTTCACCCTTTTAAGCTTCACTTGGAGTGATGGCTACCCAGCAAACTCCTCCAAACCTGACGTTTTTAGAATGTCTTAGAGCTACCGCAGCACAATAGCTACATAAAGCTATAGTAGAATGGTATTATTATTATTATTATTATTATTATTATTATTATTATTATTATTATTATTATTATTAGCAGTAGTAGTAGAATAATACTACTACACATATTATTAATATCAATACTGTATAATTTAATAGACATTTTCTGCTGCTTACATGAATTACTTTTTAACCTGAATACTGTGAATGCTGTATTTTTTCAGGTAGTTAAAGTGACAAGTCCCATATTTCGTAATCTTGCAGCTTCTCAGGCTTGACCTTTTCAGGCACGTATGAGCTGACACACAGTTAATAGTCCATCTCTGACATCTTTCCTTCCACAGTGACCCGGCCACCCAGTTGTCTCGGCTGATGCAGAGGGACAGGCTCACACAGGAGCAGGCCGAGATGCGCATCGCCTCCCAGATGCCTCTGAACGAGAAGCGGGGACTGGCCAGTCACGTGGTGGATAACTCAGGTAGCCGGGAGGACACCCACAGGCAGGTTCTGCGGCTGCACGCTCAGCTGGAGGACTCCATGGACTTCCTGTTGGTCAGGGCCCTTGCGATTGCCACGGCGACCGGTATTGGAGGCCTCCTCTTGTTCAGCCTGAAGCAGCTCCTCTCTTAACAAAGGAGCTGGATGGGATTGTGGGTAAAAGGCTTTTCATCACGGTTCTGTGTCAACACGGGTTATGAACTGTAGAGGAAAGAAACAATGCAAGTTTAATTGCACCTACTGTCATTTTTTTAATCTCTTATTATAGTTTTAATATTTTAATGACAGTTTGCAGATTTCAATTCTTGATCTGCTTTTTTTAATCTGTACCGGACAGTTTTGTATAGAATTCTACAAAGGCTACATTTCAAACGTTTCTGTGAAGTATAGATACTCTTTTAAGGACACCAGGACGAAAAGACTGGCCAACGTATAGGAAAAACCTCCATATAATTCAGTTGATGTGTTTTATGTCTGTCAGAGCTTCAAAGCAATGCAGAAGATTTGAGGGACCGGTCTGAATTTGATTAAACTGTGAATCATTTCCAACTTCAGCCATGGGGAAAAGGGATTTTAGGTTTTTGCATGCTATGAGAAAAGTTAGACTAATACTGTAAAAAAGCTGAAGTTTTTCTTTAATGCACAGGGGCACTTTCTAAATGCACTGTCAGGTTCTAGCTAAAAATATATGCAGCAGAAAATGATGTCAAAAGATGTTGCACAGACTGATCTGGTTGGTATCTTTACAAACCAGTCTCAGTCCAGTTATTTAATTATTGGCTGAACCTGTTCAATTTAAGATCTTTTCAATGTTCTTTAGATGATAAATACCTGCTGGATTCCAGCCCTCCTGTATTGAATTGGTACACCCGTGGTAAAGTGGTTCAGTTGGACATTGTGTTTTATCCTCTATGTTGTTTTATCTGTAGTGATTTAAAATCTCCATTAGAGGTCAGCATTGCCATTTGGGTTGATGTTTTATGTTGCTCTTACTGTCACAAATGTTTTGGGAATTAGACTATTCTATTTTTAACACTTTCCTTCTTTTTATGAATAAATATTTTGGAATTCTCAATATCTTGTTGAATGTCTCTGTCTGGTCAGTGTTGACAGTATATTTCTAGGCAGTATCATGATATTCCAAAGCACCAGTTTGGTGGTTCCTCAAAGCACCACAATACCTTTCAGTCTGGGAAAGGGACTACAAACTGGACACTTCGAGACAGGATATGTTTGGAAACATTGCCTCAAAGGAGACTTACTTATTTTTTCTAGACTAATACCGTTTGTTTGATGTGACGTAATTTTCTTAAAACATATCATACTTGATACTGGCTGTACATATTCCAGATCTGTAAAAAAACTAGGAAAAACAGAGAGGCTTTTTTTGTCTGTTAGTTGGCTAGCATGGTGAATTCACCTCAAAGCCTGGTTTTTAGAAGTGAAGATCAAATAGCAGCTGGATTATTTAAAGCGCAGCTAAAAAAGACTTAAAAATATCTGTTTTAAACCTATATTTTTACAAGAGAACTCATAAATATGTTCATTACTGTCCCAGACTGCATTAACCAATTTGGTTTGTTCAGTTAATGAGAGTCAAAGGCTGTTAGGTTTCCTTCTCTCAATTAAGCTCTGCAAATATCTGAAAGGTTATCTTATTTCTGGGAGAATGTTAGTACCAATCAGGAAATGAAAGTGATTTTAAAACACTGGTAATTATAAACACTTAAAATATTTTTTAATCATCTCAGAATATAGTCAACCGGATAACTTTCCAGACCCACTAATCTTTTGTATAAAGACACACTACTTGTTTACAATCTTAAGTTAAATTCTGTTTTGAGTTTCCACTTGCCTCTACTATCCTGTGTTTTATTGTTGATCCTGAAAAAGTGTACACAGTTGACTTTGTCCTGCCTTTGAGCGTTTCTATTCTTGAATCATCTCCTTTTTCTTTGTTCAGGACTAAAGAGATTCAGTTCTTTTGCCCCATCAGTGTAGGTCATTCCTTCAGATACATGTTCTGTTCTGTTGAATGGATTTCAGAGCAACAGTTTTATTTTGTAACACTTAAACACACAGTATTTGAATAAGGTCTTACTAATTACTTACAGTGAAGAATTATAACTTCATCTGGTTTCAGTTGTATACTTTAAACTATATATCATATATTGTATAGAGTTGTATAATGATGTGCGAGACTTATACTTTAATTCAGCTTCAAGGGAAATCAGCAAAAAGCAGAACAAAGAAAAGGATTATTTTTCTTCTTAGAAACAGACTTTTAATTCCACTTGAAGACAACATTAAAAACTTGTGGTGGGCTGTCCTTGTCGCAGCTGGCAGTTTTTAATTTGAGTTACTTTCTTATTTCGTTAGTGCAATCCAGAGTGGGTCATTCCTAACTTTTGGGACTATGACCGATGTAGACAAAAGTCTTTCACGCACTGTTGTACTGAACCACTTTATAGCCTAACACGTTCACCACCAACACATGAGAAAAGCGCAAGAAGATGAAAAACCTGCTCAGGCTCCAGGACAGACGAGGTGTTCAGTGTGCGAGTGAATACTCGAGTTTGAAGTGTTTAGTGCCCTTTATAATCTCCGGCCCTCGTGTGTTTCTTCCTGTTCATCGGGTAGCATTCACTATGAAATGGGCAGGTGCATCCAAGTGAGTGCTATGTTTGCAAAGCAGGGAAAGCAATCAGGGACTTTGTACTGCATGAGGACCCCTTATAACAGAGTGTTTCAAGCTGGATGCTGTCATTGGAGGCATAAAAATGTAAAAATCTGAAAGCATATTTTACACAGACAAGAGCAGAGCACAAAGCAATTGAATGTTATGTAATTAGAGAAAGACAAGAATTGTGTAATTATTTGGAGCTACTGAATTCTACTTGTTTTCACATCTAAGCGCTGTATCGCCCGACAGTGAGTGCGCGCTAGGCTGGAGCCTCTAATGTGGTCTGTTTCTTTTCACCAGCAAGCAAGGTTAAGAAAACGGGGATTACCATCGGCACGGATCGTTGACCATCGTTGGTACTTTCTTGTAGGGTTAGAATAAAAATCTGATAACAATAATCCATTTTTCAACACTAGGATACCAGTCCAGCACACCTTGTTTTGGCAATATCTCATCTCTGGGTTAAATTCATTTTCTCACAAGGCAAGCAATCGGAGAAATGAATGAATTATTTATCAGAAGTATTAAAGAATTCTGAAATTTAAACCTATGCCGTATAATGTAATATATATGATATTTAAATTGATTTATATGAAATAGTTTCCTGTCATTCTTGATAACACAGTTAACAGTATCTTAGAAGATGGGTTATAAGATATTTTCTAATTAAAATGTACTGCTGAATGTACTAAAAATTATACTTATGACTAAGGCATCAGAAGTCTCAGTGTGGGGCAGAGTAATTATCTAGTTACCCTCAAACAAGTTCAGGAGTTGCAATAATGCACTCAGGTGGAGACACTGAGACAGAACTGTATTGTAGACAAAATCCAAGGATCAGCCCTCCAACAAATACAAATGTATTGTCCTTTACTAGCAATAGACAAACAATTACCTAGTGCCAACATTTCAGCCTTGAACTGACTTAACTGACTTAAAAAACACCATTATCTTTGTACAAATGTGAAAAAAAAGTATTTGATTAAGTTGTATTGTTAGGTCACTTGTAGCCAGATCTGTCAGTTTCTTTATCTGAATCGTATTTGAACTGTTGTCTTAATCATGCTTTGTCCATTTAACTCCTCAATGTCCAGCAAATCAAATAGAGTCAATAGGGTTAATGACAGTATGTACAGCATATTTATGATTTATGTGATATTTGTTCTGCTAATCAACAAGTAATCAATTGGAAATGCCTGATGAAAGCTTACACGTTTTGTTTTTCCCCAATCAAAGTTTGCATACCGTGGTATATTGCTTTTATAAGTGAGTTCTCCTGTCTCCTGGAGGAAGACAAGCATGTTTTGTTATCAAATTGCGTGTCTGAAGTTCCAGATGAGCAATTATACAATGAGAAATCCCCTTTCTGCACATTAAACTGGATGAAACATGATAGAATCTGGCATTTGTGCTTCTGAGGGGGCATTTGGAATAATGACAAGCAAACAAAAGTGTCAAAACAGACACTAATGATGAACTTGCAAAAAAACAAGAAAAAATGCTGGCAAACAGTGTTTTTCATCTCCAGGTGTCCTTGAGCACAGACATGCACAGTACATGAAATGGATTCCCAGAGGGCCAGAGGTGAAACTCAACATTGAACACGATCCCTGCATGACCCCCTCATGACCTCTGTGGCCGCTGAGTAGCTAAAAAGACAACAACCTGGATCCTGCACCCAGAAGACCATCCTTCCATCCATTATAAAAAGCCACTTATTCTTGTAAAGGGTCATGGTAACCTGCAGCCTACCCCAGAAGCACACAGAGAAAAATACAGACTTCACCTTGGGCAGGACAGTAGTTCATGACACTGTACACATGCACTGAAGCACACATGGATGATTTAGAAACCAGGCCAATTAACCTAGATACCAAGTCTTTGGAAAGTGGGAGAAAACCAGAGCAGCCCCCCCCCCAAAAAAAAGCACCCCTGTCCAGAAGCAAACCTAAGAGCTATAAGAACTAACACTCATGTACAAGGAACCCACGAATTAAATAAAACACTACTAATGCTGTATCTTTGCTTTAAGTCTTTGGTGTCAGAAGTGTGTCCTTTTTCCTGGAGTCAGGAGCTGCCAGTACACATTAGGAAATATGTACATTGGTCAGCTGTTACTTGAATAGTTGTGCTGAGTGCCTTACTTGACTAATTTGTAAAGGAGCTCCTTCATTTTGGTGGAATACTGTTTCACACTTGTGTAGGCGTGTTAGAGATAGAGTTAGCACAGTAATGAAGTGTGAAGTTGTGCTTTCGCTGCAGGACATGGTGCAGAGCTCCAGTCAGAGTTATCTCTGGGAGGTATAGCTGCCTTCTGGTACAGCAGTCTGAGTTGAGTTCCAGAATTCAAAATGTCATTGCTGTTCCTTGTGAGATAGGAAACATCAGCTCTTCAGAATAAATATGTAATTGATTATCCTTCTTGTAAACTTTTTAAAAGGAAACAAACCAGGTGATTCATAAAATATAAATATGAAGCTCAGAGATGTATGCTTTATGGGCAGCACAGGACACAGTATTTAGCATTGTTGCCGCACAGTGCTGAGGCCCTGGGTTAAATTCTGGACCTGCTGGACTATCTGCATGAAGTTTGTTTGGGTTTCTTCGGGGTGCTTTCTTACCACAGTGCAAAGACATACTGGAAGGAAAATTGAACATAGTGTGAGTGGTGTTTACCTGTACTTGTGTGTGCATTGTGATGGATTGATAGGGTCAGTCTCGTCCAGGGTGTATCCTACATTGAGTCCATTGCTTGCCGGGATAAGCTCCAGCAACCCCATGACCCCGAATTGGAAGAAGTTGTTTTAAAATGTTCCGAAACCAGGACAAAACAATACAGGATTTTTTCCCCTTTTTTATAAAAGAAAAACTGTCACCATTTTTTCTCAAAATTCTGCACCAAATGCAATTATTCAATTTGGCTGTCACATCCAGAGAGGAGAATGGTTATTTTTGTGTTGAGTTATTTAGCTGTTAATTTGTGTTCTTATTCCTGGAGAAGTACATGTTGCTTACTGATTTTGATACCTGTACAAAATGTGCAATTTGTCAGACTTCCAGAGGGTGGGATAAGGTATGGGGCTTCAAAGATGGTGCATCATTTATTTACAAGAGACTTCAGCTGAACAAGATAACTAAAGCAACAAAATGCTGTTAGGTTTTATTGGGCTGAATGATCTCCATGTGTGACAATGATGCAATTTCTCAGAATTACATTGTAAGCCCTTCGTAACATTTCCATTTTCTTCTGCAATAACCTTTGTCACTTCCACACAATCAGCTCCAGCAAGGCTTAAAAACTATTTATGTACACAGCAGGTGTTGTAGGTTTTACAGGACTAACATCTAATGTATGGCAATGTAATGTTTCTAACCTCTATCTGTCACAGTGACA